ATTTATTAAAGACATAGAAAATTCAATTAATTAATTAATTTTTATAATCAAAAATAATTTAAATTCAAAGGGATTGAGTGCCTATTATTTTGTATCACTGGCCCTTAAGCACGTTTAAAGAGTGCGTTGAAGTCTGAAGGCTATAGAGAAAAAGAATTCACGATCGACATTAAAGATAACATTGTCACGTTTTATGTTTCGTGTTGTGACACATCACGTTTAAGCAACAATGATTCCTTAACTGTAATTGCTTTTACGTGCCTCTGACAATATTCCTTTCCCTCAAAATTTACTCCGAAAAATTTTCTCTATCCAGGAAATAAGAACTTTGCGTAAAAATTACAAATAACACGGTACGATAAAAGCAAAAACATCAATCAACAGAAAAACAATTTTTAACTATAAATTCTTCGTCTTTAAAAAAGAGTTGAAAAATGTATTTTACTTAAAAACATTTATTAATTGTTAAATTAATTAATAATTATTATTAATTAATAATATTTATAATATACAATAATAATAATAATAATAATAATCAGGGTGTCTAACAACTGCTATAGGAAAAAAATTCCCTGACTTTTCCCTGACCTAAATTACACTAAAAAATTTTTATTTTTATGAAATAAAATTTATTTTAATACAATTAAATCATTTACCTGTCTATTATCCACTAATTTTATATGTATTTGAACTAAATAAATAATGTTTCGTAAAAAATAAAATATTTAAGTGAAATAAATAAACTAATTGGGGACGTATAAATATTCTCAATATTTAATTTAAAAGAATTTTTACGGCGTCAAATCTTAAATTATCAAATACCTATTTCTTTACTAAAATTATAGGTATAAAGCAGATTTTCTAGTACATCGAATTTCAAATTAATACAATTTCAATTTAACGGAATTTATGTCAAGAAAAATTGCATAAAGAAAATTTTTTTTAACAAAATTGTTAATTTTATTAAATTTTGATTTATCAAAATATTTACTTAATAGAATTGTCATTGAATAAATCCACAATTTAACAGAATTTTTATTTAACAAAATTCTTAATTAACAAAGTTTTTATTAAAGAAAATTTTAATACGAACTAATTTTTATTTAACTGAAGTCTTATTTAAGAAAAATTCTACTTAGTTCTTTTTTTTGTCAATTTTTATACACTGAAAGAAATTTCATAGGAAAAAATAACAAAATGCGTATTACATTTTAATATATTCTTTTAGAATTTAGGGAAAAGTGTACTTTTTATTAAAATTCAATATACTTTATATTAAAGTTCCAACTTAAAATCTTTTTTCAAATATTAATAATTATTGTAGAAAGAACGTAAAAAGATTACCAATATTTGAAAATATTATATTAAATTTCTATTATGAACTTTTAAAAACTCATAGAGTTGTTGCATTATATGGAATGTAGCGTTCTAATATTTGTAAAACTTTATACGAAAAATTGAGAATGTCGGAAGAAAAGGGAAAAAAAGCGGAAACTGTCGGACGTTTCCGTTAATTCTCGGGAGGAAGAGGAGTGAGACTAGGAACAACACATTCACACTTACGATACAGGTTAATACACATACTAATGAACACGCACGTTCATTTCGCTTATACATAGACATTACACGATCGCAACGAAACCTACACTTACAATTCTATACGCATAACGATAAATTTCGCTGGGGGTCGGCATATATCGTTTTCTTATATACTAACTACTGAATATTTTTACCACTTGCGAGAAAGAAGTTTACTTATAATAACTTAATAATAAAAAATAGTTTACTAGTGCCAATGGTGTAATTTTATAGAGGTTACGATGGGTTCATTTTTATTATTAATTGTTTATATAGATTTTTCTTTTTTTTCAGATTAAAAATTATGATTGTTATAAAAATTAAATAATTGTAAAGATGACATCAAAAAATAAAAATTAATAAAAATAATAATAAATTTAATAATTAATAATAAATTTATTATTATTAAATAACTTTAATAAAACATTTTTTATAAATTGAAAATAAATTTAAATTAAAAAGAATTTAAAACATTATAAACATTTGAAACACGTGTGTTGACAGTTGATAGGTACGTTCTGCTGGTTAACAACACTTTCGAAGATCGGATCAAGTCGTAGAAGTTCGAGTAGGACACGAAGCCGCAAACAGACAGAACTTCGGTTAAATTCGTAGTCTCTCGGGAAAATCCGTGACTTTTAATATAAAATTTTACAAAATGTGAAATAAGTATACGGATATATGTTATTTTTCTTACTATTTTGTGAAATTATTTATTATAATATTTCGTATTCTGTGAATTCATAAAGAAAATACTAATTTTTAAAATAAATATACTAATTCTTATTTCTTAAAATAATAGTTACTCTTAAATTCATTATATATTTTCATAAAAACTGTAATAGTAATCAACATAGGTGCACTTTTTCCCTAAATTGTAACATTTATATTAAACTCTAATATTAGTTTAATACTTAGTAGTATGAATTTTCTTTCAGTGTAGAAGACATAAATTTCGTTAAATTAAAATTATATTAATTTAAAATTTAAAAAAAGAAATTAGAAAAAAATTATTTATAAAAGTTCTGATAAATAGAAATTCTTTTAAATCGAATTATAGTTAAATGTAAATTGAAAATTTTTGCATATAATATAAAATCCACTTTATATATAGATAATTATTTTGCTAAATAGAAATTCGATAATTTAAGATTCGACGCCGTTAATATTTTTATAAGTTAAATGTGAGTATTAGCATTAAATAATAAATTATTCGTATTAATGAATAATTTACTTTATTTGAAGTTGAACCGATAAAATAAAATTATATCAAATAATACGAAGCTGAAGTATATACACAACGTTTATGATAAACGTTATTTTAAGAGAAATAATTTTTTAAAATGAAAAATTCTATAATTTTTTGCCTAAAAAATACTTTTTTAAAATTTGTTGATTAATAAAAACTACAAGAAATAATTTTTAGGCGAAAAATTATACAATTTTTCATTTAAAAAGAATTATTTCTTTAATAATCATTTATCATAAACGTTGAGTATACTTCAGCTTCATCAAATAATTTTTTATTTATATTAAAAAACCAAATATTTCACTGAAAAAAATTAATTAATTGCTATCCGCAAGTTTAAAAAATTATTTATTAGATTCAATATAAATAGTAGTAAATAATTATTTACTTAATGAATATAAGATATAATCACATGCTTAATAATTGAGTGTGAAGGCCAACTTTTTAATTTGCATTTTCTTTGGGAAAAAAGTAAAAAATTTTTTGAAACTAATAGTTACTTTAATTTATTTATAAAAAATTCCAGAAAATTAAAGAAATTCCCTGACTTTTCTCTGACTGTTCGACACCCTGAATAATAATAATAATAATAATAATAATAAATTAATTAATAAATAAATATTTATCTTAATTATGGTCTCACATAGTATACCTAATTTTTGGTGTAAAAAAAAATTTAAGTATAATTTTACACTAATTGAACTGTTTTATCTTCAATAATTTAATTAATTATTTCAATTTAGAGAAAATTATTTATTTCTTAAATACCTAATTGAGAAAAAAGTGAGAAAAAGAGTGAGGAAAAAAAATTAATAAATAAGAATAGTAATGACAATAAGAAACCTACAATTAGATCCTTAAAAAAAAACAATTTAAGTATTAGTTAATATTTCCGGATAGCTATATATATATATATATACGAAGAGTGAAATAATTTCTTTATTTTTAAATTATCCTAATCGCGGAAAACTGTTTTTTACGGATTTATATTCAACGACGAGACAGATTTAATTGATCGCTCGCGCCTCCACGTCCGGTCAATTCCCTGGCAACAGGGTATGGCAACCTGATCACGTGGTCTTCTACCTCCATATACACACACGAGACATACACTTTTTAAAAGAAAAAAAAAAAAAAGGAAAAAAATAACTGACCAACATCTTTAGCTTTATGTATGTAAACGAATCACTGTTCCACAGCATCAACTTTATTTTTTTGTTAATTTTTTTTTTTTTATTTACAAATTTTTCATTATTCTTATTTAAAAGAGAAAAAAAAATTCATAACTGAAAAATTTGTATTAAAATTTATTATTTATATTTTAATTGACATTACATTTTATTCTATCATTGATAGAAAGTAAAAATTTTGAATTATTTAAATTATAATTTGCTTCTTTAATTTTGTATTTATATATCATATTCTGAAATTGGGTTATCAATTTGATATACTAGAACCCTGATAACAAATCCTATGTATAATAAATATTTCTCAAAATCACTGCTCATATTAAGTAAATCAAAGTATTATTTTAATAAAAAAAAAAAAAATTCTATAAATGAACATTTTTAGTCTGATTTTAATAAACTAGAATTTAATAAAAATGACAATTTTAATAATTCTAGGAAACTTACAATATTTGAAATGTCATCAATCTTAACCTTTTTTTAAAAAGGCAAAGATGACGAAATTGTAATAACTGAAAAAAATAAACAGTTAAACAAATCATAACCTTAAATAATTTCTCTCTATTTATTTATTTTTTTTTGAAGAAATCTTTGTTATTTTTCAACACTCCTTTTTGCAATATTTCTAGAATATTACATTCAATAAAACCAATAGGTAAAGTTTACCATATGACTCTATTTTTTTCTGTTTACATTGCTCAAGAAAGAAAACGATGGAAATGTCGCAACCAAACAGAGAAAACAATTTACAAACTTCAGAGACAAAGTGACTTTGAGAAATAACATTTTCCTTTTTTTTTTTTGATAAATTTTTGCAAGGTGGCTTAAAACCGGATCCGTTTTAAAGGCCATACAGTGTGTGAACAGTCCTTTCTATCTGTCTCTGACAATATTCATCCTTTATCGTCAAAACATTGAACTTTCATTAACAACATCCCTGTCAATATTTAACAATTTATAAATTTTTTAATTTTAATTTTACTTACTTGTGACAATTGTAAATTCAGCATATCTCCGTCAAAAAACAGGGCACAGGTGCACTCATTCGCGAACCGAAACACTAACACAAACAAACACACATACACATACACAGGAAGAGCAAGTTTTTTTTTTTATATATTTACAGAGGACCAAGATCAGGATCAAGAAAACGACAGATTTCTACAAGTAAAAAAATATGATGAAGTCCTTTTTTTAGACACGTTTCATTGAAGAAATATTAATTTTCATTATTAATAATCCTTTTTTTTTTGTTAATTGAACTCAACTTCCCATCATCAATGTTGATGGAACAACTGTGGGTCTCTGGCATGATGGTCTGTTTGACATAATTCATTTGGTGACCCCACGTCAACTGAAGTGCGCACGCGCACAACTCAAGCCCTTGTAAAAATAGAGGGGGCATTTTACCAAGAGTCGATAAGATAGAAATCTTTAACAATTTAAAATTGCGCCTGCATAATGATAATCTCTAAAACACTACTGATTAGATCTTGTAATTCTGTAGGAGCACGATATTTAGAGCACGATTTTTTTAGATATTTATATTTTGTTGATAGAAAAATAATTTTTCACTAAAAATAGTTTTGAATTTTTTGTCAAGTGAATAGTAAAAATAAATTAAATTAAAAAAAAAATTATAAAGAATTTTCAAGTGTCTCTCATGAAAGTGAGAGAGAAATGAATGAAAATGATTTGTTGGCATACTGCGTGGAGCTGTCAAACAGCGAATGTCAAACAATAATAAAAAGAAAAATATGTAAAATATTGAATAATTCTTAAATTGTTTAAAAATGGAAAACGATAATCCTGTGATATACGGTCTGGAATTTCAGGTAAGAAATAATTGTAAATGTAATTAAATTTACTGTGTATTAAACATTGTCATATTTTTGAGGTTATGTTACGTACGAAATTCTATAAAATATTTTCCAGAAGGAAATATTGAATTTTTTTTTATAAAAGTAAAATAATTAAATGGAAACAATAAAAAAAAAATTGTTAACTTAGGCAAGAGCACTTTCGGCACAAACTGCCGAGACTGACGTTGTTCGTTTTATGGTTGGAACTCAATCGTTAAAATTCAGCAACAATCAAGTGCATTTAGTTGAACTTAATGAAGAAACGGGAAATTTAAAAACACAAGTTTATCAACATCCCATTGGTGAAATATGGTCTTTACAAGCATCTTCTATGGATCCTGATAAATTTGTCACTTGTTACAATACTCTAAATGGTTAGCGTAACAAAAAAAAAAATTTTATGTCTCAATTAATTATCTATTATTAGATTATAATAATTATTAACTGTTAAATTTTCTTTCTAAAAGAAGAGGGAGTTTGTCAAATGAAAGGAGCTCTTTGGAAATTGCCAATGATAAATGAATCTTCGAATGAAAATTCAAAACTTGAAAAATTAGCCGATATTGATACAACACCTTATGGAAATGATTTGAAAATAATTACTTATCATCCTAGTGATGGATCAAAAGCTGTTTCGGTTGTTGATAATAATTTTATACTTTGGGATCTAAAAAATGATAATCCACAGGTAATGTATGATAATTTAAATATCAATTTAAAATAATTGGGTCAAAAAAATTTCAGGCGATACTTAATTATTTTTTTTACAGATTTTTTAAATAATAATAATTTTGGAATGAGTTAAATTTGAAATTTTTAGAAATAATTGAATTTCAATAGATTTTTTGTTAATTTTCAGACAATAATTAAATTTTACAGTTACTAAAAATAATTTATCAAATAATTTTAGATAATCTTTTTTCAAAATTAATTGAATTTTCAAAAATTTAGAATTTAGATTTTTGAAATTAATTGAACTTCAAGTGATTTTTAATTTCAAATTTTTGATGACTTTACTAAAAAATTTATTAGAAATTGCAGAAAAAAATACAATAATTTTAAAACTTTTTAAGTGAAAAATAGTTTCAGATAGTTAAATTTACGAAGAATATTATAAAAATTATTAAAAATAATTGAATTTCAGGAAAGTAATAATTGAAGTTATTAAATTTCAAAAAATTTTTGATAGAAAATTTTAGAAGCTTTCAAATTGAAATTTTTTAAAATAATTGAATTTCAAAAGATTGTCTTAAGTTTCAGACAATAATTATAAGAGAAATTTTTAATAATTTTTGTTGATAAAGAATTTATTAGAAATCATATAAAAAAAAAAAAATTGAATTCCAAAAGTGAATTAAATTTCAAGTGATTTTGAATTAAAATTTTTTGGTAATTTTATTTGCTAATTTTTTTAAAAATTATAAACAATTATTAAATTTCATAAAAATTTTAATTGAAAAATAGTTTAAGACAATTGAATTTGTGAAGAATTTCATTAAAATTTTTTAAAATAATTAAATTAGAGAAGAATTTTAGTTAAAAATTTGTTAAATAATTGAAATAAACAAGATCTGAAGAAGATTTGCAATTTATATTAAAACAAATGTATTTAGTTAAAATTTTTTTTTTTAAATTTAAAAAAAAGTCGCCTGAATTTGTTATATCAATAATTTCAGAAACTGATTTAAAGAGTCAAAAAAAGTGATTCTTTGTTAAGAATTAATTTCTTTAATTTTATGCGATACGTTTGAGAAATTCTGACACTAAATATATATTTTCAAGTGTCAGTGAAAATAAAAATAATTTAAAACTACAAATTTTATCTCTCTCTCTCTTTGAAGATTATTTTGAATGCGCGATTATTTCAAAAGGAAAAGTGTCACGAAAAATAAATAGAATTCTGAAAAAGAAATCCTTTATACTTCAAATAAAAGTTGATGAGAAAATATTTAAATTTACATTTCTTTTTATAATGAAATTCTTTTGATTTAAAGTGCTACAAGTACAAAGAAAAAAAAAGAAGGAAAAACTCCTAAATGAACCATAAAAACTTTCATGCGTCAAATTGAAAAGAAAACGGAAAATTAATTTAAATGAAAAACTAAAACAGAAATGATTTAATGTTTTCATATTCATTTAAACTAAATTTTCCTCTTATTCAAAATAGACTTTTAAAAACATTTTTTTTTTAATGTTTCAAATGAAAATAATCCATTTAAAACAAAATATGAAAAATAAAATTATTTTGAACATGAATTAAAGAATTAAAATTATTATTTTAAATTAAAAACATTTCTAAGAAGTTTATCATTTTTTTCGAAATTTAACAAACTTTTATACAAATAAAAACATTGATTCCAACTATTAAGATTCGATAACAAAAAATATAATTTGTTTTTTGTTAAAACCATTTTTTGTTTCATTTTAAAAAAAAAATATAATTTCAAAAATTCGAATATAGTGTAGAATTCAATTTTCTGTAATACAAAAATTTTTAAATCCTATTACTTTCAAAAAAATTTTTTTTTTTTAATTATTGTTTTTAAAATGTTATATTTTTCATTTGAAAAAATATTGTAAATATTGCAAAGTACTTGAAATTGTATTAAAAAAAAAAAAAATTTTTGTTTTATTTGTTCAATGAATATTTGGTGAAAATGTATCCTGAGTAAAATTTTTAATTTACAAAAAAATAATAATTGCCTTTAGTTGAAAATTTTAATTGTAAATGAATATCTATGTACCTGTAGGTAATTACTGTTGGCACGTCAGGTAAAAATTCTTCAAAATTTACAAGTGGAAAATGGAATCCACACAATAGTTGCAATCAGTTTGTCACGTTAAACGAAAATAATGTTCATGGTTGGGACTTGAGAAATCCGTCAGATATTTCCTGGAATATACCAAACGCTCATTCTCAAATTGTCAGGTATTAAAATTTAAATTAAACAAAAATAATAATTAGGTGATTTGTTTTGAATTTACTTTTCTTCAATTTTCTACGTTTTTTTTTTAATTTTTCATCAAATTTATTTTCTAAAAAGTTTAAAATTAACTTAAGTAAAAATAAAAAAGAACAGCACTTCTTTTGAAAACAAGTAAAAAGATTAAATTATATTCATCGAAAATTTGAATGTTAGATAAATTTAAACTTGAATCAATCAAAATTTGAATAAATTACAATTCGGCAATTTGAAACTTTAATCAATTAATTTTAAAACAGATTTAAATTTTGTTAATTTTTAATTTTAATTTTGTTAAATTAATCGATTGAATTTGCATTTGATTAAAATTTCAATTAATAAATTTGTTTTGACCAATAAAAAAGACAATTTGTAAACTGTTGAATAACGTAAAATTTAAATTAAAAGTTAGATTGAATTAATATTTGAATCGAATAAAATTTAATTAAATTGAATTTTGGATAAATTGAATTTTGGATAAATGTTTTTACATTATAAATTCAATTGTTTTTGAAATATTACACCCACAAATTAATCAAATAAAAAAAAAAAGTGAAAAAGTCATGTAATTTTTTTTTTCTTTTTGTAAATCAAGTTTTAGAAAAATTGTTTTAAAAAATAAACAAATCAGAAATTTTATCCAATTTGTAAAATAAATAAATTCTACCAATTATTAATTAGAAAACATGAAAATTGATTTACAAGAAAAAAAATTGTAAATAATTAATTTTAGTGCCAATTTGTTCAATAAATAATAATGAAATAATTTCCAATTTCAATCTAGAGATTTAGATTTCAACAGTAATCGTCAATATTTCTTGTCCACTTGTGGTGACGATGGTTACATGAAATTTTGGGATATTCGAATGACCACCGAACCCGTTATATCAAGAATCGAACATTCCCATTGGGTTTGGAATGTTCGAATTAATCGCTTTCACGATCAATTGGTATTAACATCGAGCAGTGATTCGCGAGTAATTCTTTGCAGTATTGCATCAATATCATCAGAGCCATTTGGACACGTTGTGTCAACAGAAGAAGAATCAACACAAGGCGAGGAAACATCGACCAAAGAAAAGTAAATTTTCATTATTAAATAAATAAATGAGAAAGAACAATTCTTTCCATAAGAACTTAAATTAATCTACAGTGGAACCTCGATTATCCGAACTAATCTAGGCAAGGCCGGGTTCGGATAATCGAAAATTCGGATAATAGAGATTTTAATTTTTTTTATAATTAAAGTAAAGAAATGTACAGTTGAACTATATATTTAACTTAATACATATGTTTTTAAATATACATAAGTATATACATATATGTAAATATATATTAATTAATAATATATTAAAAACTCAGAAAATTCGGAAATTTTTAAGATTTTTTTTGGCATAAATTTGGTTATTTTGCTTTGAATGATAAAATAAATAGAGAAAATAAAATTTAAAATTCGGGAGACCAAAAAATAGTTCGGATAATAGAAGTTCGGATAAAATGTTTTTCGATTCGGATAATAGAGGGTTCGAATAATAGAGGTTCGGATAATCGAGGTTCCACTGTATTATATTTCGACCAAAGTCTATTTTTTCAAAAATTCTAATATTTTTAATATTTTTGTAGAAATAATTTTAAATATTCTAATAGTACATTTTTGACAATGATTTTCTAAAATTTTACGAGTTTACTTCGTTATTTTAATTTTAAAGTCGAGATTATTATTTTATTATAATTATGCAAGTTAATTTTAAAGTTTTTGTGTCAAACGTCTTTACACTCTTTTTTATATATTTTTTTCTAAAATATGAATTAATATGTTTTGATCAAAATTTGCTTAAAATTAAATATTTTTAATTTACTATTTTGGTTTTAAAGATTTTTTTTTACAAAAATATTTAAAATAGTAGAATTTCAAAAAAGAAAAAATAATCTGAAATAAAAAATTTTGTTATTTTCAGACTTGAAGACGGAGTTGTTGGTAGATTTGAAGAACACGAGGATAGTGTCTATGCTGTTGAATGGTCATCGGCAGATCCATGGACTTTTGCATCGTTGAGTTACGATGGAAGATTAGTTTTAAATAAAGTACCTCGCAAATATAAATATCAAATTCTTTTATAGATTTGCAAAAAATTGTACAGAATTTAAACAAAAATTAAATTATATTGAATTTTTCAAAATTCATTTTTAGAAAAACATTCCTATTAATTTAATTGATTTCAAACTATCCTAGAAAACTTAATAATAATATTTTATATAATTTTCTTTCTACCTTTTGTTTTTTGTTAAAGTTGTCTCTAAAATCTTTCAGCCACTCTACTCGCAACATTTCTCAATTGACCATAAACTTTCGATGGTGGACTACCCAAGATTAAATTACAAATTGCTCGTCTCGCAAGTTGAATATTTTGATATGAACCGAGAATATGAATTTTCGAGTCGGCTAATACAATTCTTGTTTTTGTAACATTTTCAATTGTAAATTTTGTCCTTCCACCTTTACCCGCTAATCTACCAATTGCTCTCGATAAATGATCACCTTTCAATGGTTTAACGTCTTGAATTTCAAAACTTTCAACAAAAAGATCATCGAGACGTAAAAGTGCAAGTGCATCTTCAACTTCAAATCCCGAAATGAATGCTTTCACAAAATCGGCACCTTTTTGAAGATTTGAAATATCTGGCGTTTCAGGCGATGTTCTAAGTTCCACATTACGACTTTTCAAATTAAAACGTACCTGAAGTTGTAAATGTTCAACTAATGGTGTGAAAATTTTAATCCATTCTTGTTTCAATGGCGAATATCGATGAGCTGGTACGGGTACCTTGAAAATAATTTTTTTTTTTAATTTTAAATAAATTAAAAAAATTGAATTGAATCGACTTTAAGGCACAAAAAAAAGTCGTTTTAGTCGATTTACATTCTAAAAAATGTCGATTTTTTTTATTTTAATTAAATTTAATAATTAATTAATTAATATTTTACTTTGAATAACTAATGTTATTAGACATTAAATTCATTGTATTGATTCCTTAATAAGAATAATTCTATAAGAATATTATCAAGAAAATTTATTTGGAATAAATTTTCGAAATTTTAATTAAGTAGAACAAATTTCTAAAAAAAATTCTTAAAAGTTACATTTTTAAAATTTTTTTGAAGTTTCATTTAATCAATTTATTCTAATTTAAAATTTTTGTATATTTTTTTAGTTTTAATGGTTAAAAATTTGTCGGACAATAATTAAGTTTTGCAAATTTTTAAATTAATTTTTTTTTTAATAATTGAATTGCAAAAGATTTTAAGTTTGAAATAAATTTTCTGCAAATTTAAACTGCTATAGTTTTTTTTCAATTTCTGACAATACAATTTTAGAGTTATTGTTTGAAACTTTTTTAAATAGTTGAATTTTTAAAGAAGTATAAAAATTATTAAAAATAATTAAATTTTTGAAGAGTTAGTTTGTTTGTTTGTTAAATTACAGACAATAATTTTACAAAATTGAAATTTCGAAGAATAATATATAAATTATTAAAAATAATTGAATTTCGGAAGAGTTATATAATTATAATTATTTTCCAGAAAGTTTTACATGGAAAATTATAGAATTAAATTTTAGGTTTTTAATTAAAATTTTTTGAAAATAGTTGAATTTTAAGTTATTTTGAATTGAAATTCTTGGTGTTTTATTTACTGATTTTTTTTTCTTTAATTTTTGACAATTATTGAATTTTATAAAATGTTTAATTGAAAAATGGGTTTAAATTGATTGAATTCGTGAAGAATTTCATTGAAATTATTATAAATAATTAAATTACAAAAGAATTTTCGTTAAATAAATAAATAAGTAAATTTTACAATTGATAAGTAAAAATTCATTTACCTTGCGAAATTCATCTCCTCCAACGTTTCTTGATTTTTTTGCTGAAGATTTTGTCTTTACTTTTCCTTCCACACCACTTACAACTTCAATCTAGAGGAAAGTATAAAAAATAAAATTTTTATTTTATTATACTTAATATCGAATTGATTTTCCAAATGAATAAACAGAATTAATTAATTAATAAATTAAAGAAAAGGAATTTTTTTTTCATTTTTTAAGCCTGTTTATATATATGTAAATAAATAATACAAGAACGAAAATAAAATGTTTTGAAAAAACAAAATTATTGAACTTTAAAAAAAAAGTTAACCTACGTACGTAAGACAAATTTTATCTATAAGGGAATAAATTTAAATTTTTTATTTTTAATTTAGATAAATGTGTTTTTAACGCTTCTTTATTAATATAAATTATTTTTAATTAACTAACATGTTATTGAGACAAAAATGAAAAAAGCAACAAAAAAACATAACCTTACCTCCATTTGACTTTCGGATTCATGTCTTCTTTTGTTCTTACTACAAGTTTCAGTTTTTTTCGGTTCACCCATAATTGTCAATTAGTAACAAATATTTCGTTGTAAAACAAATAGAAACAATGTTTTTTCCAGTAAAAATATTAATTCACCCACGTGCAACTTGTGCAATGTTTTTAGTATTCTTGTCAGAGTTGGACAAGTAAAATATGAAGTTTATTTTTTAAGGTCGCTTCACATGCCAACAGAGATGGGAACAACTTTCTTCGAATTTAATTTTGCGTATAATACGTAATTCTTGTATACAACTTCCGGTTTTATACAAAAGGCGCGATATTTTGAATGGATGTGAGATTTTTTTTGTCAAAGAAATTAAAATGAGATTTTTAATATTTCTAAAAAGTAAAATGGTATTATAAATGAGGAATAAATAATAATAATAATAATAATAATAATAATGTATAATAAACTTAAAATTAATTTATAATTGTTGTAAATTCAAATTGAATGTTGTACTTGGGAGCACGTTATGTTGGTAGAAGTGAAAAAATTTAGTTTTGTAATCTTGGGTTGGCATTACTGCACATTCTGCTCATTGCAAATGGCGTCGTCAGTAGAAGAACCATTTTATGTTTGAGAAAATTTAATCTTTTAATCTTAGTTGTATCATGAAGTGAATTATATATATTTAATTGTAATCAGGTTCAGAATTATCTAAATTATCAATAAATAATATAAGTTTATTGGCAGGCAGGAAGAAAATTAGTACATTTCGATAAAATTTTGCTGACACGGAAACTCAACCTAAAAAGTTTATCATCCCAGTGTTAAAAAATACAGGTAAATACGCATATAATTCAAATCGTAATAATAAAACATTTTTATTTTATTAATAATTATTATGAAAATTGGGGGAAAACGAATGTGTATACCAATTGCACAGAAGTCGAAAGATTTGTGGAAATATGGCGTCAGCACCGTTCACATCAATGTCGACTTCTGTGCAAGGATTCAACTTTGGGATGCTATTGAAGAAAAGCCTTATAAAAATTTAATGCCGGCCGGCATATGTTTAAACCTGCACATAACCAAAAAAAATTGTATTTAAACGTTAAAGTCTAAAGCCGGTAAGAATAAATATTTAACAGTAATAATAAAAATGATAAAGTTTATGATATAAATATGTACAAGTTTCTTGCAAAAATTAACAAAGCATTTACTCAAATAATTTTTACAATTTGATGAGTGAAAAAAAATGTCAAGACGAGAAAGCGCAAAACAGTTTAATACATCCACATTAATTTGTCACTACAAAAAAAAAATTTTTTACATATGAAATTTTCTATAGAAATTCCCAAAGAATATTTTTATAGAAAAAGCAAATAAAAAGATAATTAATTTAATTCTTCCACCAATGATTGAAGTATAAATAAAATAAAATTGAGGTTAATTTAATTTTTGAAAAATTCAATCACTAAAAAAATCCATAAATTGAAATTTTACATAATTTTGAAATTAAATCAATTAAAAATTAAAAATTAATTGAAATTCAGATAATTTAAAAAATAAATTAATAAAAATTTTGATTTTTGAACTTAAATTGATTATTCCTTAGATAAATTAAATTAATAAATTTCGTTTTAACAATAAAAATTAACATTTGATTGAAAGTTCGATAACTTGAAATTGAAATTAAAACTTATATTAAATAGATCATTTTAATGTGATAAAATTTAATTAAATTGTAATTAGAATTAATTTAAATTTTGATCGATTACAATTTTTATTAATAAATGATTCATTGAAATTTGGTAAAAAAAAAATTTTAAAACGTTAAAAAATATTGAATTATTTTTTTTAAAAAAATTAAAATCTGTAACCTTGTGTCCTTTTAAATCCCCGGAATGTTAAAAAGATATTTTTTACATTTTATTTATTTTTGAAATATTAAATCCGCAAATTCAGGCCTCAGATTATACGACTTTTTCTGAATTTTTTTTTTTGATTTATTTTAATAAAATGCGACTTATTCGACTAATTTTTACATTAAAAAAAAAATTTAAACAAAATAAATTTTTTTTAGTCTAACATTCTTCACTAAATTAATTATTTTTAATAATTTTAATGAAATTTTTCACAAATTCAATTATCTTAAACTATTTTTCAATTAAAATTTTTTATGAAATTAAATAATTGTTTATAATTTTTAAAAAATTAGCAAAACATTTTTAATTCAAAATCACTTGAAATTTTTATTATTTGCAAAAGTTTCAATTATTTTTAATGATTTTTATAATATTATTCGAAAATTCAACTATCTGAAACTATTTTTCACTTAAAAATGGTTTTCAAATTATTGTATTTTCATCTGCAATTTCTAATAAATTTTTTAGTGAAATCATCAAAAATTTAAAATTAAAAATCACTTGAAGTTCAATTAATTTCAAAAATCTAAATTTTAAATCTTTGGAAATTCAATTAATTTTGAAAAAAAGTTTTCTAAAATTATTTTGATAAATTATTTTTAATACTTTAATATTTAATTATTGTCTGAAAATTAACAAAAAATCTTTTGAAATTCAATTATTTCTAAAAAAATTTCAATTTTAACGCTTCAAAAATTATTATTATTATTTTTAAAAAATTTTTATTTAAAAAACTGTAAAACTTGATTAAATTTTTTTGACCATCAAAATTCAAAACTATGACAAAAATTTTAATTTGAATAAATTGCTTAAATCAGAATTGAAAAAAAATTATAAAAATGGAACTTTAAGAATTTTTTTTAGAAATTTCTCCTACTTAAATAAAATTTTGAAAATTTGTCTTACAATTAGTTTGATTCTGAAATATTCGAAATAAATTATCTTGATAATATTCTTATAGAATTATTCTCATAACAAAATTAATAAAATGAATTTAATATTTAATAACAATTATTTAAAATAAAATATTCATTAACCAATTAAATTTTGTTAAAATAAAAAAAAAAACGACAAATAAAATTTATATTTGAAATAAATATATTAAGTTCTTCGAGTGTAAGAAAATAATAATTAAACAAATTAGTAAAACAATATAATACTTTATGAATTGTTTTATTCGGTTTCGAAAGTTTCTTTTTTCTCTTACATTCTATATTTCTCTAAATTAATAATAGGTGACAGCCGAATTTAATTTACAATTTCTGAATTTCCAATACAAATATACAGGTGCCTATATAAGATATACTTTATAAGGTTTCGATTCAATAAATGTCCTTCAAATGCAGAAATTTTTTCCCGAATAAGCAAATTTTTCATTAGTTTCTTTTTTTTGGTAGTTTTTCCTCTTTATTTAATTTGCCAAAAAAAAAATAAAAACAATAGAAATGAAGAATTATATTTATATAAATGGAATGATCACGAATATTTATATTATTCAATCGAAAAAAATTATTTTCTGCCTTTGGAAGACATGAATTTTTTCATAAAGATAAAACTACTATTTAAATACGTTTCGACAATTCATTAAATATTTATAATAATTTCATTTTGAAAATTCACAAAGTCTTACATAATATATAATATATAATAATTAATCCAGCGACTTGTCCGCGCTGGTTTCCGCATTTTTTTTCCTTTTCACGAAAAACTAAGGCAAAATTAGATGAGTTACAATTTTGTTCCTAATATATATTTAATTTTTTATTTTATTCATGAATTATATTTTTGTCAAAATAAGAGATAAATTGTGTGTGTGTTTTATATATATATATATATATATATATATAAATTGTAAATATCTTAAGTATAATTGAAAGAGGATGCAACTGCATTTTTCGGAAAAGAATTATTCTAATTCTAAGAATAAATTTTCAATGTAAATATAGATGATTAGAGAAAGTTAAAATTGGGTTAATGTTTAAAAAGTTTTATTATTTAAAAATTAATTAATGCTAAATAGTCATTGAATTTATTTTGCATATTTAATATACAGTAACTCATCTAAGGACATAAATATCTAAAATTCTGGATCCATAAACATGATTCTGTTTAATAATATAATTTTTCTAGACATGTTTCTCAAATCCATGCTCATAAATATATTTAAGGTATATTATTAATATTAAATACATACTAAAATGTTATTGAATAATTTTATCACTGAATTATCAATTTTTTTTACTCTACCAGCGCGGATACGCGGAAAAAACTACTTTTTAAATATTAAGAGAATCCGCATTTACATCGGAATCCTCTCGTGTTCCCTTTTTTTTCTCGGAAGTAAATATAATAATACTCGTCTTTTTTTTAAAAAGATTTCTTTTTTTTAGGTTTTTTTTTACTTCCGCAACGAACGTAGAATTTTTTTTTTTCTGATAAAATGGCTAAAATCGCCTTTTTAAAGCTCTGCTATCACTATAGTACGACGGACTTTAGGCAATGCTCATAAACTTTCGCTAAATTTACAACTTTTTTTTTTCTCGAAAAAACGTTTTTTACGAACGATTCTTTATAAATATTTTCATGGTACTAATTTTAGATGATAAAAGTAATACATACTAGAAACGATATATATGTTTTTTTAGATTGGTCTCAAAAACCGTTTTTTTTTTTTTTTTTTTGACTTAGAAGAGAACTTTTAATTTGTTCGAGTTTCTTTAAATCAAAAACTCAAGTAGTTGAAAAAATATTTTATTTGAAATTTAATTAAAATTTTTTTATTTTAATTTATATTTTGAATATATATTTATTTTTTATATTTTCCGACTCTAAAAAAAATGTATGTCGAGTAATTTTCTTTTTCGAAAGTTTTTTTTATTTTTTTAAAAATTAATTTGAGAATAAAATAGGTATTAAAATTGAAATTTTATCAAATTTTTATGAATTTAAACTTTTTTTTTGCAATTTTTACATTTTGCTGTTGGCAATTTTATGAAATAATCCAATATTTTTATTTGTTAATTTAAATAATATTTTAATTAATTTAAGTTTATAATGAAATTAAGTTGATTATAATTTTACTTTTTGAAAATCGATTTTTGGACCAAGATAAATGCACATTAAATAAGAGCTTTGCTCTATAAATAAATTATAATTATTTTGCATTCAATACTTTCTGACACCTGAATAATAAAAACATTCCAACAGCATTACAAAGTGAGAAAAAACTCTAATATGAAAGTTCAGAATGAAAAATTTTTTTTTTCAATTACATTGAAATATAAATAAATTATACAATAAATTCTTAATTAATTTTAATATTTAAAAAAATTTTTTTATATTTTTTTAACTATAATAAAAAAAAAATTAAAAATTAGAAATAAAAATTTGAAAAAAGCATTCATTTTGAACTTAAAATCATTGTTTTTTCTCACAGTTATTGTTTGTACTAAAAACATTTCTCTTTATCTATAACAATTAATAAAATTACAACTAATTTATATATTATATCTATATATTTATCAATAACAAAAATCGACTTTAATAAATGCAGCCAGTTTCTTAAGGCAAGAATTGAATATTATATAATAATAATAATAATGATAATGATAATCGAAATTGTGAATAAAGTAAATGTAAATATATATTAAAAAAAAGTTGAAGAAAGAGAAAGAGAGAGAGAGAGAGAGAGAGAGAGAGTGAAAGTTAACTTTTGAGATGATAAGTAAGTAAATGATTTTTTGGCTTCTTTCAAAAAGGGAAACTTCACAAAGAGATAGGCAGATTATTTGACGAACTGATCCACAAAAGGACCGTTTTTAGGAATCAATCAAGCGTCCGGGTCGTCGTTGTTTTTTTTTTTTTTTTTTTTTTATAAAACACCCAATTATTAAAAAAGTTATACTCTATCGTACAAAAAAACAAGATTCTATATTATATAAAAAGTTAGAAATTTGGGACAGTCCCGGATTTTTCGATATTTATTGGTCTCTCTCCCCTTTAGTGGACAGAATTTGCGTGAACGATCGGACGGACAAAACTGCCTTTTTCTCTGTTTTTAAATATTTTCTTTTCAATTCCTTTTTTTTCTTTCTTTTGGGAGGGGGGAGGGGAATTCTAATTTCAATTTTTTTTTTCAAGTTTTGTAAATTCCACATTTAATTTTTATTTCACTTCAAATTATTTTTTTAGTTGCATAAACTAGCATTCAGTAAATTTCACAGTTTATTTTTATTTTACTTCGAAAAAATTTTGTTTAGTTGCATATTTTTCAATTTTATCTTTTTTTGCAATAGAAAATAATAATTGTTAAAATCAGGAACTTTATACAATTAAATTTAATTAAATTTTATTTGATTCAAATTTTAATTACAAATTTCAATTCAATCTAAATTTTTATTTAAATTTCATGTGATTCTATACTTTTAATAAATTCAAAATTTTTTTTTTGGTCAAAATAAATGTATTATTTAAAATTTTAATTAAATGCAAATTCAATCGATTAAAGTTTTAAATTATTGTACTAATTGTAATTTATCAAAATTTTGATTGATTTAAATTTTAATTGATCTAAAATATTAATTGTCCAAATTTTAATTGATTTATTTTTAAAATTTATAATAAAAAATAATTATTGAAAAATAATTGAGAAACTTTTGTTTTTTTTTTTTTTTAAATAAAATAAATACATATTTTTTGTTTAAAATTAAGAATTTAAAATCTAGAAAATATTTAAAAAAATTTTATTTCTATACTCGAATGCATAAAGTTCCAAGTATTTCATTACAGCCCGCATAAAAAATCTATTTTTCTGCAAAATTATTTCGAAAAGTTATTTTTTTAAAATTTATTTAAATATTTAATTAAAATAGAATTTTTTTTTTAATTATCCCTTAAAATCCGTTTACGTATTTTTTTATTTGGCAGAATTTTCAGTCGACTTTCACTTTCTCAAAGAAATTGTTTTTTTTTTTTTTTTTACATATATTATACTCGAGCAAATCTCTCAATTCCTTAACTTTGATAGAGATTGAAATAGAACTATGATTTTTTTGTGATTGGGGGAGGGGAGATGAATGTTTAGGATTGCTACATTCAATATTATAGGTATATATAAAATGGACATGTTTTTTTCTAGAAATTCTGACAAAAAACTTGTTCCTCGTTTAAACTTTAAATACACTTTTTTTTGCGAACCTCTAATAGTACTAATTACAACGACTGGCTACAAAATGCGCTTCAAAATCGAGGTATAAATTGGTAAACTTCTTAATAGTATTATATATAATAATAGCATTTAACGTGAAATTCGTTATGATTTATAATTTTTTTTGAAATTTTTTTTTTATGTCGATAACTTCCATTTTTATTTGGTTATCTTTTTTTTTTTTTTTTTTTTTTTTTAATTAACACGTTAATTCATTATTTCAATTATCACATATGTTAGAACCGAGTTAAGAGCTTTATAAAGCGATATATTAATAGTTTCTCTCCTTGTGTTTTATTTTTTTTTCGTCATTTTTTTTGTGATTTTTATTTTGCCCATTTTTTTTTTTTTCTAATATTTTTTAATGTGGCAAAATTTTAGCGCACATTTTTTTTGCCAGTCATTGCGTGGCACGCCTTTTTTCTTTTTTATCATTGCTAATATGAATACTGATCTATATAGTCCAATTATTTATTAGTTTCTAAAGTTTGTTTGCGAGATTTCGCCTCCTTCTTTCTTTTTCTTTTTTTTTCTTTGTTATATCAAAATTGTTGATTTTTATAGTTCGCGGATGGTGTTTCATGGAAAATAACTATGTAGCATGTTACTTGACTTTATATCGTGCAAGTTTTAATTGCACTGGATTGGAAATTTTTACGTGAACAGCAATTTCTTCGACTGGTATTTCACGAATGTCTTGTCCGCCAACTGCAATTATTCGATCGCCTCTTACTATTTTCCCACTTTCCGCGGCACAACCACCGGGCACCTGAAATTGTCAAAAAAAATTGTTATTTTTTCAAAAAACCTGAATTCACCTTGAATTTTTAATTCAAATTTGAAATTTTTTTTAAAAATTTGCGATTTGATTTTCTTTTTAATTGAAACTTGTGTAAAACAAAAAAAAAAATCTCAATTTAGAAAATCTTGAATTTTTTTTTTTTGAAAACCGGGAAAAAACCATGAAAAAAGCCTTGAATTTTATTCGTATATTTTAGAGTCCAATTAGTTTTCAAGATTTTATATTGTTAGAGAAAAATAAAATTGTCTTGGAATTTTTTTTCTCATTTTAGATTAATTTTTAATTTATCCTTTGAAGGGAAAAAAGATCCCCATTGAATAAAATTTATTCAATGAGAATTTAAAAGTATTTAATATTTTTAAAAAAATCGTATTTAAAGTAAATAAAATTTTTTTTCTTATTGCAGATTCTATTCTCGATGGCTTGCGGTGTCACGTACTTCAAAGATAAGGGCAAACGTAAAAAAAGAGATATCTTTGAAGGACACACAATTCACACAAACTTTTTAGAACTCGGTCTATTTTTACGGTTATTTTTCACGTTTTCTGAATGGAAATTTAACTTGAAAATAGGGATCTCCGAGGGCTATTTAGTTTGAAAGAATCTCCTTGAAGTTGAAAATTCGTTATTAAGGTAAATATTTTAATGTATTGAAAAAATTTTATTACAAAAAATTTAGTTGTATTTTTTGACGTGACAACGTCTTACTCCGAGGTCTAGGGAGTCAGTTAGAAAAATTGGCGTTCATATCGACGGCCAGAACTCGAAGTCATATTTTCAAGATTTTTGTGTTATTCGATTAAAAAATTAAAAAAAACGTTGTCACGATCAAAATTCTCCGTCCGTGTAATGAATATAGATCCCGCTTTAATTTTTCAAAGTAATGTGAAAATTTTATATTTATTATTATTGTTTGGGAAATTTAGTTGGGGTTGTTTTTTTTTTTTATAAACTCACCACTTCTGAAACGTACGCGCCCTTTCCACTTTTATAACCTATCAAACAAAGTCCAGATCCCTTGCCAGATTTTTTCTGAAGATCAACATCGAATTCCTCCACGGCTTTTGGATCTCGATGTACAATCATGTGGATCTGAAAAATTAATATTTTTTCGATTATTTTAATAAGGAAAAATGATTGAAATTATGAAAAAAAATTGAATATGTTAATGGAACGCATGAATATTCTTTACCTGTCGAAATTTTTGTGGAGTATTAAAAAATATCGAATTTTTATTTAGCAGAATTTTATAAAATTGATTTTATAATAAACCTAATTTTCATATTGAAAAATTTTTATTTAAATAAATTCTGATTTAATGGAATTTCTATTTAATTGAATTTTTGTATAGTAGTAATAAATACATTGAATTTTCAAATAAAACAATTTCCATTTAACACAATTTATATGTTTAGAAAATTTTCATAATAAAAATTTTTCCTCTAACAGAATAGTTCTTTTATCGAATTTCTATTTATCCAAATATTTAGTTGACAATATTTTTATTAACTGAATTCACATTTAACATAATTGTTCTATTAAATGACAATTCGGACAAGTGAAAGTTCGGTCAAATGGTAGTTTCAGTGAAATAGAAATTCTCTCAATTTAAAAATTCAGCTTAATAGAATTTCTATTAAATTAAAATTTTGTTAATTTAATACTGTTAAGTGAATATTCCGATAAATAGAAATTTAATAAAAGAAGCAGTGTGGTGATATAACCGGGAAACCGGGAAATGACCAGGAATTTAAAATGTGACCGGGAAATAACCGGGAATTTCATAGTTAAACCGGCAATTTTTCAGATATTCTAAAAATTTATATCGTCTATTACATCTTGTTGCACTAATTTCTCAAAAAAATGTATTTTTAAAATAAGTATCTAATTACTTTTTTGTAGTAGTGCATTATTAAAATTTATTAGAAGAATTAATATTAAAAAATAAAAAATTTATGAATTTTTTAGAAACATAGTCATTTTTTGTGTGAAAAATTAAATTATTTACAAAATTTTGACCGGGAATTTAAAATTATAAAAATTATCGCCACCCTGAAGAAGAATTCCGTTAAATAAAAATTATTTTTTATGAAAATTTAGCTAGACATAAATTATGTTAAATGGAAATTGTATTATTTGAAAAATTAGAAATTCTATTAAATTAGAATTTAGTTAAATAAAAATGCTTCGATATGGAAATTAGACTCATTGTAAAATTCAATTTACAAAATTCTACAAAATAAAAATTGAATAATTTTTAAATCGATAACATAAAAATTCCTTCATATTTAGTATGGAAAATATTCATACATTTCATATAAAAATATAATTAGAATATAATATAAGAATATAATTCGTATTTTTAAATCAGTAAAAGAATTATACTTACAGGTCCATTAACGATTTTTAGAACGGCTTGATAAGCTCTCTCTTGTTCTATCGATTTCATACTTTCTTTATTAATTTCTACTACTCGATCTCCTGGTTGTAAACGGCCATCCTTACCGGCTGCTCCATCCGGATATACATCGAGTACAAAAACTCCATTCTAAAAAAGAATTAACCGAAATTTTTTTTTTCATTTTAATATAAAAAAAATTGCGTTATTACAAATTTTCAAAAAATAGTCGAATTAAAAAATGCTATTTTTAAAAATGATTTTTAATTATTTGCAAAAATATCGATTTTAACTCACAACAGGCGAATCATTTCCTCCGATAACAGTGAAACCAATTGGTTTGTCTTTGTCTTTTGGAAATTCAATTGTGGTATCTTTTCCAATAGCAATGGCACAGTCTTTTGGATCTTTGGATCCTTCTGGTTCCTTTGGCTTTTCTGGCTCTTTGGGAATTTCTGTAAAATCGAATTATTATCATACATTCTGTCGTAATTAATTTTCTTTATCAAAAAAAAAAATAAAGAAATAAAGGGACGCATAAAAATTCTTTAAACACTATTTTTTGTAATATTTAACAAAAAAAAAGTAAACTAATGAATAATTAGGTAAATGAAATTGTTATTTTATCGAATATTCAAATTAAACAAACAGCCGATAATATTTTTTTTAACAAATTGTCATTTAATCGAATTTTTATTTTTTTTTATTTTATTATTTTCTAAATGAAAAAATATTTTTTTTCAATCGTTGATCATAAACGTATTGTGAACTTTGCCGATGTAAATTATCGCCAAATTAGTCTAATTTTCAATTAGCCAAATTTGGTTTAATAAAAATTCAGCGCAGTAACAATTTGGTTAAATGGACTATTTCGAATAAAAGAAAATTCGTATTTTTAATAATAATTCGGTTAAATGAAAATTCGATTAAATATCAGCAAAATTCTCGTATAAATAATATTTTGGAAAGTGATTTCATTTGGAAAATAAAAAGGCTCTTATTTAGTGTTTATTGATAATTTGTCATGTTTGTTTTTTCAAAATTACCAATTTTAGTTGGATCCTTGCCCTCTTTGATGGCCTTTTGTCTAGCTTCTTCTTCTTGAGCAACTTTACTTTGGTTTGGATTACACACTGTGAGATTAACGACTCCCTCGGTGTTTTTCAAAAGATTTGTTGCCTATTAACATTGATATTGAGAAATTATTTTCTTTTCATTTCAAATTATTTGTTTTTTCTAGTTTATTATAAGGTCAGGAACAGTTAAAATTTCAACCTATCTAAATTAATTTTATTTCTGGCGTTACTTAAAATTTAAAATTATTATATATTGTTAAAATTTAAAAAAAATATATTTTTACCATTTTAGAAATATTTTTTGAAATAATTAAAATTTTTTAAATTCCATTCAATTTATTGTTCAGTATCAGTTTTTGGTTTTTTTTATTTGTTTATTTATTGCTATTTTCTATTTTGTTTTGGTTTTTGATTCCAAACTCTATATTTCTCCAACGTTTGTGTTTATTTATTGACAATGTAATTTTAACTTTTTAATTTTAGGTAAGATTTTGTAATTTTATATTGAGTAATTTATTCATATTCTATTTTATTTTTTTTATTTGCATTTTTTTGGTTTGGTATTTAAATAATTTTTCATACTTTTGATGAATTCCCTGAAGATGGAAACCATTTCGATTTTGAAATTGATGAAATTTATTTGTCCAAATATTTTTTTTTAGTTTATTTGCAAGTTCTGTTTATAACTTACTTCTTGGGCGTAAAAAATTAAATAAAAAAAATAAGACAAAAATATTTAGTAGAAAAGAATTGTTAAAATTTAATTTTCAAAATAGAATGAATTTTTTTTTTTTTGGTTTAAAACAATTTATCAAGTTTGTATTTACCTCGTCATAGGTGGATCCAAGTAAACAATCCATATTGACAGCTAAAATCATGTCTCCAACTTGTAATCCAGCCTGGAAAATTTAATTAAAATGATTAATATTTTTTTCCCAAAATTTAGGTTTTTCTAATTGAAAAACATTGTTTTTTAATTTTTTTTTTTAAATTAATTAATTGGATAGAAATTAATTACAGTAGAAATAATTGAAAAATTTTACATATTGCTAAAAATTTTTGTTATTTTAATTTAAATGGATATTGAAAGCACTTATAGAGGAGAATTAACTTAAGGAACTGTATATATGCATTGGATTAGTGAAAAATTCACAAACTCTCTGTTGTTTGAAATTAATTCCCATGTTGGTATATAGAGTTAATTAAGATTAACGTCAAAATGAGGTTCTTACTATCTCCGCTGCGCTTCCTTCTTGAATATCCGAGACGAAAATTCCTTGTCCCACTTCTGCGTGTTTGCCTTCGATAATCATGATGCCTAAACCGTAGTGGCCCTAAGTAAATATTCAGATTAAATATTTAAAGAAATATAGATATTTACATGTATATTATAATGTCAAAATTTTGAAACTTCCTACTACAAATAATCAATAAATTTTTTTTTTCGGTACACTAATTACATTCTCCAATATTTATTTATTTATTATTTACATTGCAATTACACTTTGGATATTCAATTCTTATGGAATTAAAAATTATTTTTAAAAATATCGAATTTTTCAATTCTCAATCTTTCGTTTTTATATACAGTTCTAAACAAAATTACACTGAAAAAAATTTATTTGATTCAAATAATCAGTTACTTGACTTTATCAAAAAAATATTTATTTGTATCAAATAACAATTATTTGATATTAAAAATATTTATTTGATAAATAGTCAAGTAACTGGTTATTTGAATCAAATAAATTCTTTTTTTAAATGTATATTTAAAAATTTTTATAACTTACTTTTTTAATTGATACAATTCGTACACCTTTATATTGGCTGAATGTTGCCTGTAAAAACAATTAAAAATTGTTAAATTTTCATTTAAAAAATATTTGGTGATACTTAAATATTATTTTTATTAATATATTTTATTTTATTAATATATTTTTATTTTTATATTATTTTTATAAATAAAATCAGACGTGTATAATTTTTTGTTTTTCATTATATCTTTACTTATTTCTCTTTATTTTCCAATTTTAAATGGAAATTAAATTTAAATTTTTTTAAATAATAAAAACTATTAAAATTTTGACAATTTGTTACTTATAAAAAAAATTTTTTCAACAATTTAATGTTTCTAATAATTTGCAAGTAAAAAATATAAATATATATGTGACGCCGCACGAGAAAAGGTACCTATCCCTGAAATAACATTAGGCTCAGTTTTCCGTGCACTATACACGGAAAACTGAGCCTAATGTTATTTCAGGGATAGGTACCTTTTCTCGTGCGGCGTCACATATTATGAAAAAGCTTTATTACCTCATCGTCTAAAGAAGGTGGAAAATGAGTAATCGGTCTCACTGAAAGATCGTCTCGGCCAGCTTTCCTAAATAAAAAGAAAAAATAAATTTTTAATATTCCATTACAATGAAAAATATTTTTTTTAATATCCCAAAAAATGTAAAAAAAAATAAAATTATTAATTAATTAAATAATAAATTAATTAAAAAGGTCATTAAAAAAAGAAATAAACCTACATTTTATTCTATTATTTTTTTATTTCAAGTTATTAAATGCGCCAACATACGGTTGGATGGTAAATGAATTTTTTTTTTTTAAATATTAAATTTCAAATTATTTTCTTTTATTTGAGTCATATTTGAGTTTGAGAGCATATGAAAAGGGGTGATACAATGTCCCTGATTGAACAACTCTATATAGCTGGTAATGTACACCAGTTCTCTTTTATTACAAAGCACAAAACGAATAGTCGCATTCGTCACACTCGTTGCTCGCGGCTTCTTACTTTACATATAGAATAGTATAGCTAGATCAACTAAAAGCTATTCAATTCCTTTTTATTTTCAAATAAAACACTGAATAAAAGCTCTGTTTGCTTAAAGTAAATATTTTATTTCTCTTTGGTGTACAATTACTAATTTTTCTCTCGAGGTATTTCTTATGGTCATTATATTTCATCAAATGTAATTGCTGGACTATTTTTTAGAAAAATTTTACTTTATAAATTTTTAATTAGTGAGAATTCGTTCATTAATTTAAATTAGTGAAATTTTTTACTAATTTTTAGTCATTTTTCACTAAAACTTGAGCATAAAAAACAAATTACTAAATGAAATATTTAATAATAAAATAAATAATACTATATAGTATTATTTTATTAAAAAAATTAGTGAAAATGATTATTAATTTGAATTAATGATCGAATTCTCACCAATTAAAATTTAGAGATTATAATTCGTAATAATAATAATAATAATAATAATAATAATATCAAAAATTATTATTAAGGATTATAAAATTTTTCTAAAAATAGACCACAATGACTAAAATCTGATGCATTGACCCTAATTTAATTTTTTTTTTAATATTATCCACAAAAAATTAATATTTCTTACCTGAAAACAATGATTTTAAAAACTGGTCCTGGAATTCCTTTTATAAGGGCTGATGCATTTAGATGGCATCTTGCTACTAGTACCACACCATTTACCTGTTTAATTGTAATATAATTATATCATAATATATTCTACAGTTGATAAAATTTTCATTTTCTAAAAAAGCATCTACCCTCAATTGTCGCAATTAGCAGAATTTTCCTTTATATTAACATATTTAATTGATCTAAAAGCCAATTACCAAACTTACATTTAATTGAATTGTTTTTAATTGCATTTCTACTCAACCGAACTACTTAATAATTTTAAGTCGAATTTTCATTTAAGCATATCGCAAGTAAATTTACATTTAATCAGATATTTTTAATGTCAATTCTTTTTATTACACTGAATTTTTGTTTTAAATTTTATTTGGTCAAAAAATTTTCAAAGTTTAAAATTTTGGTTACTGTAAAGTAGGGACGCATAAATAAGTTCTAAAAATCAATTGTTATAATATTTAAAAGAATTTCATTAGATTTAATTTCTTTTGAATCGCATTTTTATTTGTTCGAAATATTAAATTTTGCAGAATTTTCATTAAGGCCATGTGGGCAAAGGACGTTTTTTTGTGGTTTCCAACTTTCTCTGAAATAAATAATGATTTCGGGTTAAAATATTCAAGGCTTGATAAAGGAGAGTGCAAAGCATAGGGCTGTTCTTCACTAAACGTAAAAATAATAAAAATAAAGCAATAAATAGTAAAATAATGTATTATATCATAGTTGATTTAGCGGTCACTTGCTCGAATTGGCGCTGTTTACTGCATCACTGACACATTCAAGCAACGTCTGTGTATGCGCCGCCATCTTTCTTGTCATTATCGTTTAAAAATTAAACTTTTTAATCTTAGTTTTTAAATAATTTAACGCAAAATTAAGTTTTTTTAGGAGAAGAACGCGGTGCATTGTACCCAAATCTATCAACCCTCAAAATTTTAGCCTAAAATCTTTTTTCATTTTAGACAAAATTGGAATATTGCAAAACACATTTTCCCATGGTCACGTGGGTTTCCCCACTTGCCGTTAAGGGTGCTAATAGGCGTGTTCCTCTACTCGGATCGGGCTGTTAATTTTTTTCTACACTTTTCGGTGTATTTTGTGCAAGAAATTGCAATAAAATAGTCTGCCTAAGAAAAATTGAATTTTATTGTCAATTTTTCCGTGACGGAATGTGCTTTAAGGGTGCTAATAAGCGTGTTCCTTTACTCGGATCGGGCTGTCAATTTTTTTTTACACTTTTAGGTGTATTTTGTGCAAGAATTTGAAATAAAATCGTCTGCCTAAGAAAAAATGAATTTTTTTTGCAGATTTTTTTATGACCGTTCTGGACTCAATAGTGGTAATAAATGTCTTCCTCTACTTTTATCAGGGTATCAATTTTTTCCTACACTTTTAGGTGTATTTTGTGCAAGAAATTGCAATGAAATAGTCTGCCTAAGAAACATTTAATTTTTTTGTCAATTTTCCTATAACGGAAAATGCTTTATGGGTGCTAATAGGCGTGTTCCTCTACTCGGATCTGGCTGTCAATTTTTTTCTACACTTTTAGGTGTATTTTGTACAAGAAATTGCAATGAAATAGTCTGCCTAAGAAAACACATTTTCTCATACTAGGTCACGTGGGTTTCTCCCACATGCCGTTAAACCGATTTCCTATATTGCAGAATTTTTTTATAATCAAATATTCACTTCACAAAATTTTATTTGCTCGAATTTTCATTTGCCATAATTTTTAATTTCCCAAATCTTTATTTAACATACTATCCATTTTAATGAATTTTTATTAGGAAGAATTCAATTGGATAGAATTTTCTTTCAGATGAATTTTAATTTGTTCGAATTATTATTTTATAGAATTTCCATATAACCGATATTTTATCCTACTACAAAATTTATACTTAACCGAAAAATCATTTAACAGAATTTCTAATTAATACAATTTTCTTTTATCTGAAATTGCAAAATTCCAAACAGAAAGGTTCAATGAAAATTATATCTAATAAAATGCTATTAAATGAAAATCATATCAATTGATTTTTAGAACTTATTAATGCGTCCCAAAAATTCAATAAGTTTCTCACTGTACAAACTATGCTGAAGATTTTAGAAATTCTTTCATTTGTTTTCACTTCCGCTTCTCAGTATATAGATATAGTAAATGATATCAATGTACTTTGACAAAGTGAGATTATATTTACCACATGTTGTACACTTATTATATTGGTATCATTGATCATTTGCTGAGAAGCGGAAGTGGCTTACTTCAAAAATGTCACGTACAGTCATAACAACTGATTGAGAGAATGTATTAAAAAAAAACCTGTCAATAAAGATGCAGAATTTATATACGTATTACATCTTCAGCAACTTTACATAGATTGGAAACCTTATTGATTTTTTTTATAAGATAAGAAAGAGTACAAATAGAAGGAATGTTTTAATTTTTAAGGAAATTATTTAATTTCGTTCTGTACATATTAAAAATTAACTTTTCTATATTTAAATAACAATTCAGTTATAATTGGATTGAATGCAAATTGAATTGAAAATCAATTTTATGGTATTCCTGTCAAATGTCAATTCAGATAAATAATATATTTTTAGACAATTTTTAGGGAATTAAGAATTATCATAATTTTAAATATTAAAATTGAAATTTTTAAAACAAAATCGAATATTAATTCTTGATAAAAAAATTTTTGTTCACCTACCTCCAATATTTCATCTCCAATTTTTAGTCCACCGTTTTGAAAAGCGGCTCCTTTTGGATTTAAACCACATATAAAGACTGCCATTTTATTTCTATCCTTATGACCAGCTATTGAAATTCCTAATCCACGTCTGTTTTTCTCTAATTTGACCATTACGACTGTTGGTCCCAGATTGTGATATTTTTTCTGAACTTTGCCTATACGAAGAAATAATAGATTTTTAATAAGCAAATATTGATTTTTCAACGAGAGATTTTTTAAACATTTTTTATCAATAATTTAAAAAATAGAAAAATATTTAAAATAAGATAATGTACAAATTTCCATATAATTGATTTTAAATAATTTTGTATAAAAAATTAAAGTATTATATATAAATTGTCTTAATAAAAAGCTATTCTCTTCCTTTAATAATTGAGAGTTGAAAAAATATTTTTTTCCTTCAGTCTATTTTAAGAAATTCGAAAAGAAAATCTTATATAAAGGAGGAAAATTTTCTTTCTATTAAATTATAAAGAAACACATTTTCTCACTGTTTGTATATCCGAAATCATCCTCTTCTTCAGGATCAGCTTCAATTTCCGCTTTCGTTCGTTTTACATTACCAGCACTTTTCCTCGAAATCTGAAAAATGAAGTATAGTTTATGGAATTTTTCTCGTGTAAATTTTTTTTTTATACGAACTTTTTAAGAATGAATTATATAAAATTCTTTGCAGATTTTCTCAAAAAATAATTGATAAATTGAGTTAAAATTTTTTGGAAAACGAGGGTTTTTTTAAAAGTGAAATTCTACTAAATAAAAATTCGAGAATTCTTAATTCGACACCAAAATAAATTCCGTCAGGTCTAATGTGGGAAATATTCGTGCGTCCCGAAAATTCGCTAAAATAGTAATTATTTTAATGAGAATTAGGATTTTTTCGCACGGTCGTATTTTAAATAATAACAAAAAAGTTATCGATTACTTCGAGTCAAAAAAAAAGTAATAAAAAAATAAATCTTTTTTTTGCATTAAGAACTCCAGTAAATAAAAATTGCGTTTAATGAAAATTTCATTTTTACCAAAAGTATTGTAAAAAGTAAAGTATTGTAAAAATAATTGGTTAGAATTTTTAATTTATGGAATTTCATTTGTCATAATTATTTTTGAGCCCAATTTTGATTTGCTCGAATTCGTATTTTGCAGAATTTTCATCAAAACGATTTTCTATATTACAAAATTTTTATATAACCGAAAATTCACTTCACAGAATTTTTATTTCTTCGAATTTTTATTTGGTCGAATTTTTACTTAACATAATAGGCATTTAAAAGAATTTTTATTGGTTTTAATTTCGTTGCATAAAATTTTCTTTCAGATTTCATTTGTACGAATTATTATTTGATATAATTTCCATATAACCGATTTTTCATACTACATGATTTTTACTTAACCGAAAAATCATTTAACAGAATTTCTAATTGATAGAATTTTCATTTGTCCGAAATTTCAAATGTCCAAACAAACAATCGACAGAAAGATATCGGCGCGATTTTCAAAATCAACCAATCAAAAATTATCCATAAAATTGTGATTGGTTGATTTTAAAAATCGCGCCGAAATCTTTTTATCGATTGTTTGTTCGGCCATTTGCAATATTGGACAAATGAAAATTCTATCAATTAGAAATTCTGTTAAATGATATTTTGTAAAAAAAATATCTTTTCAAAAAATCTACCTTGCCGACTGATGGTAAAACAGTTTTTAAAATAAAAATACAAAAATTACCGACACAGAAATCTACCTTACCGTCTGATGTTAAAAAATTTTTTTTTGAAAAATAAAAATATAAAAAATTACGGTTATATGGAAATTATATCAAATAATAATTCGTACAAATGAAAATTCATCTGAAAGAAAATTTTATGCAACGAAATTAAACCCAATAAAAATTCTTTTAAATACCTATTATGTAAAATGAAAATTCCAGCAAATAAAAATTCTATAAATAGAATTTTCGGTTATGTACAAATTTGGTAATATAGAAAATAGTTTTGATAAAAATTCTGCAAATTCCATAAAATGAAAATTTTAACGACTTTTAGAACATAATCATGCGTCCCAAAATTTGAAGCAATAGAATATTTTAATAAATTTATTTATAATAAAATATACTAAGAATAAAAAAATAATATAATAAAAATAAAATAAAATAGAAAATAAAATAAAACAATTGAATAAAAATTATGTTGCATGTGGTATTTCAATGTTATCAATATTCTGATTCCGGCAAACAAAACTGTTGTTAAATAAAAATTCAGTGAATTTTTAACGCGTGAAATAAACCAGAAAAAAAATCGGTTATTTTTTCATACCAAAAATAGTAGACATCCTATATGTATAAATTTATGATTAAAAAAAAAAGAAATTGAATTCCTGAAAAATGTTGCATAGTTCTGAACTTTATAATAGTTTATTGTTGAAGAATGATAATCAAAAAAAAAAAAAAAAAAACTTTGGGAATATTTGGTATATAATGAACAATGAAAAGTAGTTATCAGACTTCATAAAATGCAAACTTTTATAACGCACACACACACAATGGAAAGAGTTGAGATAATGACCCCAAACGACTCAAGACTCAAAATATATATTATGCATAAAGTGGCATTCAACATTTTTCCCTGTCATGAAAAATTTTGCTATTCATCCTGAAACTATAATAAATTGAACATTTATCGTATAAAACATTATAATATAAAAACTGAGTCATAAAATAACTTATTATACCTAATAATTATTATTTGTAATACAAAATTAGTTAAATATTTATTTAACAAAGAAAATTTACAAATTTTTCAATTTATAAATATTTAATAATATTTTTTTCAACATTTTTTTTAATTGTTCTGTATAGAGACTATTATTTTAATTATAATAATTTTGAAAACAAAGGAATTTGATTAATTTTAGCCATAGAGAAAACGAATGTCCCGAAGGATCTAATTCCTTTAAATCAAAGGCACATTCTTTTGTTCGTGAACAATATAAAGAACGAAGAGCAAACGGATTTATTATCTTCAGAAAAAAGCCCGTATTTTTTAAAGAAAGAGAGAGGGTATTCTTTATTTCGCGAAAAATCTAACAATTAAATAATTATAAATTTTCTAATTTAAGTGTGGGTAAATTATTTTTTTTTTTTTAAATCATTTTTACTGAGGATTGCATTTTCTTTAATAAATTAATAAATTATTTAAAAAAAAAACAATTCTCAGCATACTATGATGAGAATGTAAAAAAAATACTCACTTCAACGCCAGCTTTTGTATAAACATTTCCCTCTAATTCGCGAGCGTCTTCTTCTTCGGAACTTTCATCCGATGAGTATTTTCGTGTTGGTACTGGTTTTGCTGGTTCTCGTGGTTCTTCTTCTGTGATCTCCCGAATGATTTGGGATTCCCCTGGTGGTGATGGAGCTTTCTTACGAATAGACTTCTTCATAGAAGATCTAAGATACACAATGTGACATTGATTTATTTATTGTAGAAAAATTTTTCCTTTTATATATATGTTCTATTTATTTTCTACTTAACAAAAAAGAAATTAAGTTCTATTTTTCCATTTAATTGAAGTTTTATTTTATATTATTTATAAATAAAGTAAATATATTAATTTTTTTTATTATTATAAATTTAAAAATAATTATTATTTATAAATTCATTATTTATTTGCTTTTTTTGAAAACTGTCAAAATTATAATTGGTATATAATAAAAAAATTATTTCGTTGTAAAAAATAAATTTATTTATAAAATCTGAAAATTATGAAAATTACATTGACAAAAAAAATTGCATTAATGTTTAATCAGTTTTTTATAAGAATTATTTCAAGGTATTCCAAAATTTGTTTCTGAAACACTCTTTAAATATGCGAATTAGATAAAAATAATTAATTTGATAGCAAAATTTATTTGATTCAAATAATCGGTTACTTATGACTATTATCAAATAAATATTTACTTGAACCAAATAATTTTTATTTTAATCAAATAAACTGTATTTGAACTAATAATTTTTGTATTTTAAACAAATACCATTTCATTGACTCAAATAATAAATTTATCCGAAATTTTGTATTATATTTTAAATTTTCTTTATTCAAATCAATCTCTTTGATTCTGAAGCCGGATTTGAATCCTTTTGAATCCTAAAATTTTATTCCGAATCAATCCAATTTAATTGGAAACTGATTGATTCGGAATTGAAATTTCAGAGTTAAAAATTTATCTTTGGAATAAAACGGATCGATTTGGAATTATCCTGGAATGAAGTTTTTATTCACTTTCATACTTTAGATTCGAATAAATACTGTTTTGGGTCGAAAATAAATTTCGAAATACCTTTTCATTATAGAAATCTTTTATTATATTAAGTTAACATATTTCCAAAAACGACACCGACACCGTGACCTCGACACCGTCCTTAGAAAATCTATTTCCACTTATTTTTAAATTAAACAAAATACTTTGCCATATGCTTTTAGAAAATCTTACATACTTTTTTTTGCAACATGTTTTTTCAATTTTAACACCCGAAAAAGGGTTATTTTGCATTATCATCCCAAAAAAGGTTATTTTGCAATTTTATGCAATTTTTTACGAATTTTTGGATATATACCTTTAAAATTACTCTATTTTTAAAAAGTTACTGATAAACAATTTTTAACCAATTTTTTATGGTTTTTTTTATTATTTATTGTTGTTTTTTAAAATTTTTAGTTAGGAACCTATAATATTGTGCCTAATTTTAAGTGTCATTGAAATCAATTGTTTTTAACTTAATAATTTTAACATTTCTTATTTTAAAAGGTTTTTCGATTTATTATGAATATTTTTCAAAAAAATTTGCAAAATCTCCATGTCTTTGTGGGGCAATTTACAGCAATATAATATAATATAATTAATATTGTTGTTATAATTATAATAAATTAAAACATTTAACAATTGTTATTTCATCCTTCAATGATACTGATCAAAATTAAGATAAATTTTATACAATATTAATAATATATTAATTTAAAACATAAATTATATATATATAATATACATAAACTACAATAAGTAAACAACAATAAGTAGGGGAATTGTGTCAGGGTTGGACACAGTTTTGGTTTTTTGTTTATAAATATTTTGTTTAGATAAATTCAGTCAATTGTGGTATATGGGTGGAAAGATCTACAAAAGAGGAACACTTTTGCTGTGGACCGTAAATTGATTGGTCCAAAATTAAAAAAGTTATAAACATTAAAAAAAAAAATCTAGTCAGGGTTGGACTTTTCAGTCAGGGTTGGACACTTTTTGAAAATCGAAACGCATTATTGGTAAAAACGTAAAATAACATTTGTAATGTTTTTTATTCTTATTTTTTCATGTTTATCTTTACTTATTGTTTACAACTTGTAAAGCTTCATGGGTTTAAAAAAGGAATGAACTCAAATTATAAAAAATAACGCTTTATTGTTCCAAATAACTCAATGAAATGATGAACAAAATTTATACAATTTAAGTGTTATTTTTCTAATATCTTTGGCACAATTTTGCACTGAAATATCAATAAAATAAAATTTATTTATAAATTGCGTCAAATTCATAATTAATATGGGTGTCCAACCCTAACTGTATAAAGTGTCCAACCCTAACTAGAAGCATCATTTTCGAATTGTGCTAACCATAACCAGACATGTGTCGCGATTCGATTTTTCACTTTTTTTCTTCTTAAATTATGTACCCCACAATACATTCAATAAGCTTATCTTTCCGAATTCTTGCTTTTTTTACACATTTTTTAGGTTTATTCACAAGTCAAACAAAACTTTTTTTGTCTCTTCGATTGCACCGAAGTCACAAGAGACGCTACTTTTGATTCTCCTAAAATGTAATGCCACAAAAAGTTAGGTTATACTACTAGAAGATTCGTCACGTACGCACACAGGTGGCGCTAGTGTTCTTATTTAAAAAAAGCCAAGTGTCCAACCCTGACACTATTCCCCTACAACTATAATCGAGGGAGCGTTAGCGAGCGAGGAATACATCGCTAGTTATAAATTAATTTCATTAAAACTTAAAAAAAATTAATTAATTGAAATTATAAAATTAATAAATCACTCGTGACAAAATCCAGTATAAATAACAACTCTCAGGAAAAAGAGAATATGAATTCTGGGTTTGAATTTTTTTTTTCGTTTTCAATCACGACTATAATCACGGCAATGGGGAAAAGCTTTTATGATTCAGTAAATCGTAAAGTCAGAGAATTTTTTTTTCCAGCAAAATGAGAAAGGTTGCCTTTAAAAGATTGTTTTGTGTGCACAATACGATCCGCATGTTTCTTGAAATGTATATAAACCACTTTTAAAATCTCGTTTTTAATAAACAAAAAAAAAATAACACATTCTACATTTATATATAAATTAGAAATATATATTTTTTTTAATTACTTGCGCATTGAACTGCGTTGAGTAGGTTCAGATTTTTTCTCAGAATATTGTTTAACGAATTCCACTCTTGAACGTGATTGATCCACATCTTCCTGTAAAGAATAATTATACTTTTTTTTCTCACAAAAATTTCGTAAATTATTTTATGAAAAAAGAAGATAAAAAATAAGTTCCATTTTTTTGATTTATAAATATTACTTTTTTAAATATATTTCTATTAAAAAAAATTCTTTCCTTGATTCAAAGAGAGGGAGAGAAAAAATATTTCTTTGCTTCAGGAAAAAATTTCTTTAACTTAAGGAATATTTTTTTGTTTGAAATATATATATATACATATATAAATATAAAGAAGTAAAAGACTTCATCATTTTGTTGAACTATGTAAAGTATTTTTTCTTTTTATTCCTTTTTTTTAATTATAAGCGCAACGAAAAGAAAAGTACAATATATATATATATAGATATAAATTTAACATCAGGATATAGAATAATTTAAAAAAGGTTTTGATCCTCTTTAGAATGAAAAGAATCAGCAGAGAGAAGGCAATAAACTAATTTATTTGAAAAAGTTTTAACGTCACTGTTTGCGAAAAATATATATTTCAAACTTTAAGAAGTATGTCACTTTAAAGCCGTCCTATATAAAAATAAATCAAACTCTTTTGGAAAGCAACTCTGCACGAAAGTGGAGTTTTAAATGAGCTTTGTTTTTTCCACAATTCAGCAGAGTTCTAAATTCCACGGGTCTTTGAAAACTTGAAAGTTCCGATACTCGTTTAGAATTTAAAATCGGTCTTTTATTTTTCTCACATTGGTTTTGGTATATATATATATTTTTTTTTTTTACGTGAACCAACTTTTAACGGTGACAAACGATTTACATAAAATTTTTTTAAATTAAAAAAACGTATGAAGACAGCATTTATATTCAATTTAACACAAGTTTGAATAAAAAGAATAATATTTTCTTAGCGTTTCCTAAAAGTAGAATTTAATAACAATTTGTTAGGCACTTTCTTGACCAATCATCTTTAACGGCATGTGGGGAAACCCACGTGACCATGGGAAAATGTGTTTTGCAATATTCCAATTTTGTCTAAAATGAAAAGAGATTTTAGGCTAAAATTTTGAGGGTTGATATATTTGGGTACAATGCACCGCGCTCTTTTAAAAAAAACTTAATTTTGCGTTAAATTATTTAAAATCTAAGATTAAAAAGTTTAATTTTTAAACGAAAATGATAAGAAAGATGGCGATGCATACACAGACGTTGCTTGAGTGTGTCACTGCTCCAGTAAACAGCGCCAATTCGAGCAAGTGGCAGCTGATTCAACTATGATATAATACATTATTTTACTATTTATTGCTTTATTTTTATTATTTTTACGTTAAGTGAAGAACAGCTCTATGCTTTGCACCCTCCTTTATCAAGTCTTGAATATTTTAATCCGAAATCATTATTTATTTCAGAGAAAGTTGGAAACCACAAAAAAACGTCCTTTGCCCACATGGCCTTAATCATAGTGGAATATATCTTTCTTTTAGTTCTTTCTTTTTTTTGTTTACCACAGTGGAAAGTGTTTATTTCTTCTCTTATATTTTATAAGAAGTAAATAAATCAAATACAAAATTTTTTTTGTGAAAAAATACTATAAATAAAAAAACTGTAAAAAATGACAAAAAATGTGAATGTAGTAAAGTACCCTGTGAAAATTTATAATATTTGTGTCTTAAATACACTGGTTTCCAGTGAAATTCCACTGATTCAAATTTAGAGATATACTTGGGTAAAGTAAACCTTTTCGTTTTGAGGTTATATTCCATTGACAATTATAATATATTAATATAATTTGCTAACAGGTCGCAAATTTAGTAAATTATTTTAAACGGTAATTACTTTTCTTTAATCATGACAAAAGTTATTATTATTATTATTATTATTTTGTTTTTAAAATTTTTATTATTATTATAGATTATTATTTTAATTAAAGTTGGTGATATCGGCCTTCGATGAATTAAAATTATAATTATGTAAGTCACAATTAAAAAAATTCTATTGGGTCAATCAAATTATATTTCACCCCTAAGTCGTTGTAACCTATTTTTAGAAAAGTCTTATACAAGGCTCAAAACCCCAACATTAAAGGTATTATTTTTCATATTTATATAATTATTAAATTAAAAAATCAATACAACAATATAAAAATACATTTAAAAGAATACTTAATATTGAGCAGTATTCAATTTAAAACATATTTACAAATTTTATAGAAAAATAACTATAATTAAAAATATATGTTGTAGTTGTATTGTTGTAAGTTCACGTTGTAAGTTGAAAATTTCTAGATTATATTTATAAAAAATATAGGGGAATGTATCTATGAGTGGACCACCTTTTTATTTACTCAAATAATTTTTTGCAGTGAAGGAAATTTAAAAACTATAATACACATAGGAATTTTCTTCCTCAGCTATAGATGAGAAAAAAAATTTAGTAATTGCAAACAAAATTATTTGGTTAAACATTTTTAAATTCCAACAAAAATTTGGTTTCGACAACAAAATAATTTGGTTAACATAACAAAATAGTTTGGTCTAAAAAACCAAATGATCGTTTGTTGCCCTAACCAAAATTTGGTTGCGACAACCAAATAATTTGATTCGCTCTCAGCTCATAGCTTAACCTTTTGCGGCACAGAGGTAACCCAGATTACCACCTATTTTATTTACAACTTTTCTTACTGTTTTTTAAGCAATATTCATTAATTTTTTTTAAGTGAATGAGAGCACATTATTGAATGAAACGAAAATAAAAGTAACAATATTTACGCAAAAATTATAAACAATTATAAATAAATAATTTTCAAAAAACTCATTATTTTGGAAAAAAAATTCATTACAGAAAATTTAGGTAAAAAGGAAACCGATATTTTGTACTCGGAGGTTTTCGGGGTGGCTGATTACGAATCTGAAGTCTGTTTTTAAAAATTCAAAATGGCGGATCCAATATGGCGGACGCCTTTTTCAAAACTTAATGCAATTCACTTGAAAATTGTTACTCGGGGGTTTTTGGGGTCGCTGATTACGAATCTGAAATCAGTTTTTAAAAATTCGAAATGGCGGACGACTTTTTGAAAATCTAATGCAATTCGTTTGAAACTTGTTACTCGGGGGTTTTTGGGGTCTTTGATTACGAATCTGAAGTCAGTTTTTGAAAATTCAAAATGGCGTATCCAATATGGCGTCAGAAAAATTTTAAAAATCCACGAAATTTGTTTAAAACTTGTTACTCGGGGGTTTTCGGGTCGCTGGTTACGAATCCAATGTTAGTTTTTTAAAATTCAAAATGTGGATCCAATATGTGCTCATTGTAGTACAAAAGCTGACCAAAAGCGAACATCCTGAATTTGTAAAACTTGCAATGTTCAACGCTGCCTATTGCCAGCAAGAAAGTGTTTCGCCGCTTATCACAACTAAAAATGGAATTTTACTTACGATCCGCCATTTCCACTTTTAAAAAACAAACTTGATATTTGTAATCAGCAACTATAACAATCAGCCTTTTTCAAGGCTACCAAATCATCTTAAAAAACCCCGAGTAACAAGTTTCAAGCGAATTGCATAAGATTTTAAAAAGATTTTAAAAATCTTACGCCATATTGGATCCGACGGGATACATGTAAAATTTTGAATTTTTGAAAACTGACTTCAGTTTCGCCATCAGCGACCCCAAAAACCCCCGAAAACAAGTTTCATGCGCTTTGCTTTAGGTTTTCAAAAAGTCATACGCCATATTGGATCCGACATTTTTAGTTTTTGAAAACTGACTTCAGATTTGCAATCAGCGACCCCAAAAACCCCTGAGTAACAAGTTTCAAGCGAATTGCATTAGATTTTCAAAAAGACATCCGCCATATTGGATTCGCCATTTTGAATTTTTAAAAACTGACTTCAGATTCGCAATTAACTACCCCATAAACCCCCAAGTAACTAGTTTCAAGCTAATTGCATTGAGTTTTTAAAAAGTCGTCCGCCATATTGGATCCGCCATTTTAAATTTTTAAAAACTGACTTTAGATTCGTAATCAACGACCCTAAAAACCCTTATAGTGTAATTTTTTAATGCGTCGATTTACATGGGTATTCACACTAAAAATGTTTTTAGGGTGTTATTTATTAGTTAAAACCAATAGTTTAATATTTCGCATTTGGTTTCATAAAAATCGGAAAGGTGGTCCACTCATGGATACATTACCCTACATTAAAAATATTAGAATTTAAAAAAAAATTGGCCGCAACAACTCTGGTCGAAATATAATGGATTCACCCTTAAATAAATAATTTATAATGTTATTGCATTATATAAAACCTCCCTGAAGTTGGCTTCAACGCTAAGTGCCAAAAATTGTTTTTCGCAGAATCAAAACTATCAAAACATATTTAAAAAGATTTTTGGTCCACACAATGCCTTGAGAAGTATTTTTCAAGGTATTATTTGAATTGAAAAATTAAAAACAAAATAATTTGAAATTTTTGATTCTGCGAAAAACAATTTTCGGCGCTGAGCGTCGAAGCCGACTTCAGGGAAGTTATATAAAATATTATTATTTTTGAATTGAATCGTTTTCGAAAAGGGCTCAACTCAAAAAAGCATAAGAGTCATTTTTGCATAAGAAATTAATAGTGAAAATGACTCTTACGGATTTTAGAGTTAAGCCACCTTTTTGAAATTCACGATTTAATTAATTCTTCGTATTAATAAATAATAAACTAATAATTAATTATATCTAATTACATATTTATTTAATACATCTTTAAAACGTTAGTTTTTTGCCTTTCCTTTTTCATTATAAATAAAATTAATTTTTTTTTCGGTATAATAAATATATTATATAAGAACTTACCATATGCACCAATGACTGTACCAGAAGACATACCGGATTGCCGGAGGCTTGAATCACCTCCACAGCTTTTTCATATGTACTATTCCGCAAATCTATTCCGTCCACTTCGATTATTCTGTCTCCCGTCTAAAAATAAAGCAAAAACCGCAATGTGAATTGGAGAAATATAATTCGCGTTATATCTGGAATAAGATTTGAAATGCACACACACACACACTCACAGACAGACTTACGTTATGGAAAATATGATAACTGAAAAAAAAAATATCGTTGAAATTAAAAATGTCAAATAATAAAGAAGAGAAAAATTTTTCTTCAATGTGTATACTTATAAAAGTTTACTTTTAAACAAACTTCAACTTTCCACCGCGTGAAAAGTGGTTATTATAAATGTTTCGAAAGTTTTTTTTCTTTTTTTTTTCTTTTGTTGGAAAGAAAAATTTAATTGTCTTTGGTAATTTTCCCGATGGGAAATTATCAGCATTTTATAAATATAAAGTTTCATTTGAAACTACGGAGAGTGCAGGATTCTCCAAGTTTTGATTAAATTCTAACTAATGTTTTTTGCTCAATCTTATATATATATATATAAATTTTAGATTGCAAAAACTTGGCAAATAAGTTTTACAACCTTTTTTAAAATGTTTTTTTTTTTTTGCTTGAATCTTATGGTTGGTACTTAGATTATTCATAAATTAAAAAAATAAATAAATAACGAGGTTCCTTATCAAAAATTTTTAAAACGAAAATAAATTGCAAAAAGTCATTAAAAATTTTTTTTTTTAGTGTTTTAATTACAAAAACATGCACCCAGATAAGTGATATATTTGTTTCACAGCCTAATAAATATTTATTTGATTTAAATAAAAAATTTTATTTACGCTAAAAAAATAGGCTAGTAGGGTATGAGACAAATATACGTTTATTTAACTCAAATATATTATATTGGAGCGCATGATTATCTGATAAAAATCATTAGCCAGAATTTTCATTTGTATGAATTTCATTTGATAGAATTTCTATTTGGACGAATTTTCATTTTTCGAATTAGTATTTGAATTACTTTCTTTGTAAACGAAATTTTATTTAACATAGTTTTTAGGTACCAAATTTTAATTTAATATAATTTCTTTTTTACGAAATTTTTTGTTATCCAACTTTTTATTTTATAGAATTATAATTTAAACCAATTTTAATTCATCAAAATTCGCATTCAGCAGAACTTTAGTGATTCGAATTGTATAATGTCAGAATTTTTAAACTATCGAATTTCCATGTGTCAGAATTTTTATTTACACGAATTTTTATTTGATAGAATCTCTAAAACAGAGAATTTCCATTTGATATAAGTTACAAATGGCCGAACAAGCAAGCGTCAGAAAGATTTCGGCGCTAATTTAAAAATAAACCAATCACAATTTTCTTAATAATTCCTGATTGGTCTATTTTAAAAAACTGCGCCGAAATCTTTCTGACGCTTGCTTTGTTCAGCCATTTATAATTTCTATCAAATGAAAATTCGCTGTTTTAGAAATTCTATCAAATAACTAAAATTCGTGTAAATAAAAATTCTGACACAATTCAAATAACTAAAATTCTGCTAAATGAGAATTCTGATAAATTAAAATTGAGTAAAATTATAATACTTTTAAATAAAAGGTGAATAAAAAGAAATTCGTTAAAATAAAATTTATGTCAAATAAAAATTCGGTACCTAAAAATTATGTTAAATAAAATTTCGTTTACAAAGAAAGTAACTCAAATGCTAATTCGGAAAATGAAAATTCTTAAAAAAATTATGTCAAATAAAATTCGTACAAATGAAAATTCTAGCTAATGATTTTTATGGGATATTCATTCGCCCCATTATATTTGATTCAAATAAAACATTTATCTTTTATGTGTTGAAACGGTAAAATACGTAAGATTTTCTGAAAGAATATTACAAAGGATTCATTGCAAATTAAAAAAAAAGTTTTATTACTGAATAATAATTAAAAACAAAAGTTTCTTGTAAAATTCTTATTTTCATATATTAAATAAAATAGGGTTCGTAAGCTAATGAGGAGAGTTGACTGTAATATTATCGGAATCTTGTCAAACAATATATATATATAATAAACTCCTTCAGATTTTATTGATGTTTACCAACTATTGGCAAAAATTTCATTCTTAATTAAATATTAAAAGACGCATGAATATTTCTCATATTAAAATTATCGGAATTTTTTTGGTGTCAAATTAAAAATTATTATTAGAAATTAATTCTTATTTTCATATATTAAATAAAATAGGGTTCGTAAGCTAATGAGGAGAGTTGACTGTAATATTATCGGAATCTTGTCAAACAATATATATATATAATAAACTCCTTCAGATTTTATTGATGTTTACCAACTATTGGCAAAAATTTCATTCTTAATTAAATATTAAAAGACGCATGAATATTTCTCATATTAAAATTATCGGAATTTTTTTGGTGTCAAATTAAAAATTATTATTAGAAATTAATTCTTATTTTCATATATTAAATAAAATAGGGTTCGTAAGCTAATGAGGAGAGTTGACTGTAATATTATCGGAATCTTGTCAAACAATATATATATATAATAAACTCCTTCAGATTTTATTGATGTTTACCAACTATTGGCAAAAATTTCATTCTTAATTAAATATTAAAAGACGCATGAATATTTCTCATATTAAAATTATCGGAATTTTTTTGGTGTCAAATTAAAAATTATTATTAGAAATTAATTCTTATTTTCATATATTAAATAAAATAGGGTTCGTAAGCTAATGAGGAGAGTTGACTGTAATATTATCGGAATCTTGTCAAACAATATATATATATAATAAACTCCTTCAGATTTTATTGATGTTTACCAACTATTGGCAAAAATTTCATTCTTAATTAAATATTAAAAGACGCATGAATATTTCTCATATTAAAATTATCGGAATTTTTTTGGTGTCAAATTAAAAATTATTATTAGAAATTAATTTTTCATTTTGAGGTTATGTTAGAGTGTCCATCCTCCTTAATATAAGTTTTGTTAAATAAAAATTTCGTTATACAAAAATTCTGTTAAATAGGAGTTCAGTTAATGAAAATACTGTTATGAATATTTGGATAAATAGAAATTCGATAAAAGAACAATTCTAATAAACAATAGTTATTTATGACACAAGTGCATAAAGTCGTTGATTATACAAGTGTGAAATTTGCAGCACAAGGCGAAGCTATTTGAATCAGTGAATTTTCAAATTTAGAGAGCAAAAATTTCAACAAGTGAGAAGTATTCATGCGTTCCAATCTTAAAAGTATAAAATATTATGTATTATTTTTTTGAATGTTATTAATTTCAAAATAGAAATGATTTCAAATTTATCATACAATATAACAAATTGTATTTTCACTTTCTATTTTTATGATATAAATTCAAAATTTAGAGAATGTTATGTCAAATTCATTTTCATATATTAAATTACTAACAGACAATTTGTATTCAATTTATCCATTATTATTAACAATTTCCACCGCAATATCGTACCATCAATTGAAATGTTTAATCTACTATTGATTCAATTTTCATCCGTCAAAACCTAATAATTTCCAAATATTGATCCAATTATAAATTCACGCTATATATATATAATATTTTCATGCTAATACGAATTGCTTTGCTATATATGTAATATTTAGTTTATTATTAAATGTAATAATATAAATTATTTTTGTCCAATTTCTAAATTTTTATATTTATAATAATTTTCATTTATATAAATATTTAATGCAATTATATATACATATATATACACAATATACAATAATTGACGGACGCGTTAGATTATTGTATTATCCCTGAAGCAGACACTTTAGACATTTAGAGCTTGATATTATATAATAGTAACACAATATGTCTTGTTAATCAAAAGTTTTATAACTGTTGTTATTTAAAAATTTAATTATTTTTAAATAATGAAATTTATTTATAAAATAACAATTTTACATACGTAGGTACAAATTTAATTAAATACACTGAAAGAAAATTTTATTTGATTCAAATAATTGGTTATTTGACTATTATCAAATAAATATTTACTTGAACCAAATAATTTTTATTTGAATTAATATGGGAGTCACCATCTTTATTTTGAGTTCTTTAAATTTTAATGATGACAGGTAGTTATATTTGTTTTCTTGCTTTATTTATTTTTTGTTTCAAAATTTTAAATCTATTGTTTAATTTGAAAATTATTCAACTACTTATTTTGCTTATGATATTTTACGAATATCATTCTCTACCAGTTGTAATAAAAAAATTTGTTTCGTTCTTTCTAAATCATATAAATTAATTTGTTGTGCAAAAAGTATTAAAATATAAAAAATATATTTAACATAAATATAAAGGGTTTGGAAATAGATTTTGACCTAAAATATCAAAAAAAAATTCAAAATCGACTCTTAGTTTGAGCTCAATATAAAAAAAACCTAATATATTGACAAATATTAACCAATTTTCTTCATTGAGTTTTTATTTTAAAAGTTTTTACTTTTTGTAAGATTTGTTTGCCTACATGTAGTTACAAGTTCCAAACTGAGTGTTTTTATAATATTCGCAAAATTAAATAAACGAAAATACCGATATCTCGAAAAAAAGAGCAGCTAGGATTTTGATCTCAACGGATTTTTACTTCTGATATGATGTAGACCCAGGTGAAACGATTCTACGGAAATCACTCCACGGAAATTCCATACGGAATTCCGCAAAATTTTGAAAGTATTCCTTTCGTAATTTTGCGAATTTTTTTGGAAGAATTTCATACAGAATTGCACAAAATTTTCAATAAAATTCCACAACTTTATTTTTTGCTGATTTTTTTGTGATTTTAAAATAACTGCTGCTACTATAACGAAAACTAGTCGACGATAATGTTCCTGGTGGATATAATATAGAATTTATGATAGATTAATTAATATCTAGTCGAACTTATTTGAGAGGTCAATAAAACGTTTTCCAAAAGAAATTTACTATTTTTCAGTCAACTAACTATAACGGTAGTTGAATTTCTCGACTAATTTTTTTCAGTGTATCCACCAGCACTTATTTTAAAATTACAAAAAAATCAGTAAAAAATACACTCAATAAAAAAACTAGTAGATTTTACTACTTTTTAACTACCCTGCATAGTTCAATAGGTCCTTAACTGAATTTAAAAAGTTGTATGGACTATTAAAAAGTAGTTAAAAGAACTAAGAATTTAGTTGGGTCAAGGAGATTTTGTAATTGTTCTAATTTTTGAAGTTGATTTAACTACTTTTGTTAAGTACAATTAACTACTAATTCTTAACTCCATAAAAAATAGTTAAATTGACTACACGCGCACATAGCTAAAATAACCAAAAAAGTAGCTACTTTTACTACTTTCAAGTCAGTTAACTAAAGGTATTTGAGGATTTCGGCTAAATTTTTTTCAGTGAACAGTTGTGAAATTCTAACAAAAATTTTGTGCAATTCTGCATAGAGATTATGTGTGTAATTCTTATAAAAAATTCGCAAAATTACAAAAGAACTTCTTTCAAAAATTTTGCGGAAATTTTTGCGGAATTCCGTATATAATTTTTACGGAATTCCGTGTGGAATTTCCGTGGAGTAGTTTCTGTAGAATCGTTTCACCTGGGGAATGATCCCCAAAAACCCGATTTTGGATACATTTTAGTCAAACTTTTTTTTGGTTCAGGCATAGTGTGTCCTGAATACATACAGGATGGCCAAAAAAAGAAAAATTTAATTTTTGACCATTTTAGAATTTTTATTTTTTGAAAAAATTAATATTTTTGAAAATCCATGCGAGAGAATCTGAAGAATTATTAAAAAAGTGTGAAAAAAATTTGACGATGAAAAATACTTAAAATTGTAAAAGAAGATATTTGAAATATTAATTTTTTAAGACTTTAATTTCTAAAATGGTCAAAAATTAAGATTTTATTTTTTTTAACCATCCTGCATGTTTTTAGGGCCTAAATGATGCAAAAAAAATAACTTCCTGTGATCATTAAAATTTAAAGAACTCAAAATAAAGGTGGTGACCCTCATTAAATAAACTGTATTTGAACCAATAATTTCTGTATTTGAAATAAATACCATTTAATTGACTGAAATGATAATTAGGGTCAGTTGGGGTTAATAGGGACAAAATCTCTATTTTTTACAAATAAATTACGTAAGTTTCTTCCTTTAAAAAGTAATATTTGCGGGTTTATTTTTTTTTAAGTTGTTATTTACATTCCCAGGATTAATTTTATGTAGCAGAAAAAAATTTAGATAAGCTATAACCGCATGAAACTGACTGTCCCCATTTACCCCAAGATTTAGAAAATTTCCTAAAATTTGGGGTAAATGGAGACAGTATAGTTTCCAAGAAAGGTTTAAGAAAAAAGTTTTCTTAAATATATTACTGTATTAAGGGATTTACCCTGAGTTTTTAATTTTTTGGGGTAAATGGGGACACCTTGTTATTATTAACCAAATTGATAAAAAATCAAAAATTGAAGTGAATTTTTGTTATAGGAGTCATAAGGAATAAGAAAAAAATTTGGTATGATTTTTAAGTCTGTTTTCTTTGAAATGCTCGACAAAATACTGAAACAGGTTTAGTCAAGTTTTTATGCATTAAGCGATAACTTTTTTTTATCTTGCTGCCAATTATTGTCAAGATAAAAGCTTGACAATACTCAGAACCTCTTGTAGGTGATCTGAGGTTATAATATTGACGTTGAACTTCATTTTAAAACTGTAAATTAAGCTCCAACACCTCTTGTCCCCATTTACCCCTTGTTCCCATTGACCTCAACTACTGACCCTAAATAAACTGTATTTGAACCAATAATTTCTGTATTTGAAACAAATACCATTTAACTGACTCAAATAATAGGTAATTATATGATAGAAATAATTATTTATTTGATAATAGTCAAGTAATCAATTATTTGCAGCAAATAAATTTTTTTTCAGTGTATTGTGCAAAAAAAAATGCTTTCTTTAAAACGTAAATTTTTGTTGAAAGTATGTCTAAAGAATTAAGCAGAAAATATTAAATTAAAAATAAATTATGTTATATAATATATATATTAATTATTTTGTCAATATTGCAATGCAATATAACTCTTATGCATACCGCAATATTAATTATTATTCGTTGATCGAGGTATTAATGCATATAGAAAAATATTATATATGAATATGCGAGAATTTTGAATATATAAATGAAAATTATAATGGTAAATAAATATAAAATTGTCAATGAAAATTTAAAAAAAAATTTTAATTGTTTTATAAAAAGAAAAACGATCCGTATTGATATTGATTCTTTCTACTTATTGGAATTTTCTATATAAAATATCACATTTATATAAAAATTATTTTCAAATGAAATTTCTGACGCTCTCTAAATATTCTAGTATCATTCATTAATTTCTTTATAAATCTTTTGCTTTTGAAATTCTGAACTTTTGATATTAAAGCGAAGCTTTATTGCGCATTGATTTTCAAAAAAAAAAGAGAGAGAGAGAAAGAAAAAAAAGGAAAAAATAAAGGGCTGGGTCTATATAGATTATTTCATAAATATTCCGATCTGATGTGCGAATTCCAATAAAGGTTGCATCGATGCCAATGTATTGACAGAAAAATTGAAAGGATTCATAAAATATTATGCGAATAACGTGTAAAGTGTTCTTTGATAGTAAGTTTATCATTGTTATCAGTCTTTTCAATGCAAGAATCGACCTACTTTTAAAATATGACCAATTATCCAATAAATCTTAACCTGACATATTCCTATATTTTTAAGGTTCCTGCTGCAGAACTCATCGATCCATATCAAAATTTGAAAATTTGCATATTTTTCTAGACATATGATTATTGATCTGTTTAGCGCAAAAATATTCATTTAATTAATCTGAAAAAAAATTAATTTGATTAAAATAATCGGTTAATTGACTATGACCAAATAAATATTTATTTATATCAAATAATTATTATTTGAGTCAATAAAATGGTATTTGATTCCAATACAGAAGTTATTGATTCAAATACAGTTTATTTGGATCAAATAAATTTTTTTCCGGTGTAAATTTATATTTAACTAAATTTTAATATAACAGAATTTTCTATTTAACCAAATTTCCATTTGTACGGATTTTCGTTTAGTCGAATTTTGTATATGTATAGTAAATTTATCATTCGCGTTTCCATTCTATGTATTTTAGGTAAAGTTTTTTCTTGCAAAATTTTGCTGAATAAAAATATCGCTTATGTGTATTAAATTAAGCGTTTTCAAAAAAAAAAGAAACAATTTAGTTTCTAAATAATAATTTAATCAATTTGGTAAAAAATAAATATATATTTGGTAAAATAAAAATTATAATTAAAATTTCACTTTAATTTTTATTAAATAAAAATTCTGTTAAATATATAAAATTTTGATTAAATAAAAATACAATAAATTTTGTAAGACGAAATTTGTATTTTTCAATTTCATCGAAATGGAATTTTTGGTAAAAAGAGAATGTCAGTGAAATAAAAATTCTTTTATTTAAAAATTCAACCAAACAGAAATTTTGTTTTTTACTCTCTTTAGTAGAATTTTTACTTTCTCAAATAGTACCCCAGATAGCACTTCTTTTTGCAAGAACTTTGCAGCAAGTTTGCACTGCAAACTACTTGAAAAAAGATGTGCTATGTGGGACTTTATAATATTTTATATCTATATCAAAATTTTTTCTACAATGAATTAGTAAACTGGAAACAAATTTATATATTCAAAAATATTACTAATTAAATTGAGTAATAATTTTAATTTTTTTTTTCAGGTATAGTTTTCGTTAGCTTAATTATAGTGAAATAGACCAGTGACGCGAAGGTGGCGCTCCTAGTGATCACTATCGGTAATTCTAAACGTCGTGTACAGTGTCGAGTGGTTTCTGCATCGTCGAAAGTTTTTGGAAGTGTCAAGTGCATTCGTTCTAATTGAAAAAGTCAATAAAATGTGTTGAAATTATTAAAATCATTCTACGGTTGGTGACGTTCGACAATCATTATTTCCAGTAATTTGTAAGTATACAAGCACGTTATTATTACATAAATTCTTTTCGTATGCAATTGATTAAAAACACATAAACTCCTAACCTCAAATATAGTAAAATTGATTTTATCATTCGGTCATTTTAAATATTAGAAATTTAGTGAATTTGAATTCCTAACCTCAAAGTAATTATTTTTTTTTAACATTATGATTTTATTTCTTTCAGAACAGACAAAAATTGAACTGCCGGAGACCAAAAGGGCTTACGCGAGGTTTTCAATGGCCCCTGGAATAGTTGTAAACTCGCTGAACGCGGGGCCAACGAAATTCACACCGCGTAAGCCCTTTTGGTCGCCGGTAGTTCAATTGAAATTTTTGTCTGTTCTGAAAAAAAAGTCAAAATGTTAAAAAAAAAAAATTATTTAACAACAGATTTTAACTAAAAATAATTTTTTCCGAAATGTATAGAACTAGATTTTTCGAAATTAATTTTTCTAATAATTTTGTTGCGTTAAAATCCTTTTTTTTAAATTTAAGGTTATGTTACGGTCACCATCCTCCTTAAAATATCAGTAAATAAATTTTATTTGTCAGTAAAAAATTATTAAAAGGAAGTTATATAATTCTTTCTAAATCTGAATTAGTAAAAAATTTAACTACCGTCAAACTGGGTAATTATATTATCCCAGGGGCTATTAAATTTATTGTACAATAATTTAAGGTTATGTTTGTGAGTTTCAAAGTGAAAATACCTAAAAAATAATCATTTCTTAATACAAAAAATCTATGTTTAGTTCTTCATTACATTCAAAAAAATCAATAAAACTATTTCTGATTTTACCTAATTGATTATAGAAACTTTTTATCGAGGTAAAATTATCACTAAACATAACCTAAAATTTCTTTACCATAAGAACCCTTTTCTCATGGAGGGTCACAACCCAAGTATAGCACGTAATATTACAGTAATATTACCGGGTAACATTACTGTAATATTACAGTGATATTAAAATGTCCGCCTCATGGTAATATTACAGGATAATGTTACTGTAATATTACACGTTAATATTAAGGCATTATTACTGTAATATTACAGTAATATTAGAAGAATATTATTTCACGAAAAAAATGCACCCAACCGGGGAATCGAACCCCGAACTCAAGGCACACAAGTCCAGAGTTTTACCAACAAGCCACACTGACTCAAAATATATATTTATGATTGTGATGCTTTATGAGTAATTCAAATCAATCTGTAATATTACTATAACATTACCGTAATATTACAGTAATATTACTCGGTAATATCATTATCAGGCGGACATTTTAATATTATCAGTATAATATTCCAGTCATATTACTGGGTAATGTTACTGTAATATTGCAGTAATATTACGTGCTAGTTGGGAAATGTATAGAATTTAATAAACTTTTAATATTAATTTTCAAATATTTTGAACAATTTCAACAAAAAAATTCCTTTTTAATTTTTTTTTCACTGCATTCTGGACTATCCTACAGAAAAAGTTTCTTACAGATAAAAAAATTTTTAAAAATTTTAATCTATTTTGTAAATAAACGAACTTTGATGGGTATAATAACCCCAACCACGGGGATAACTTTCTGTAACTCCAGCAAAAATTTTTCCTTTTGTTGCCTAACTTATAGGAACTTTTTTAGAAGGACGTCCGCAACATAAGGCAATAGTTACCAATTTTTTTTTTTTTTTGAAATTTTGTATTTTAATGACGTGTTGAGTAAAAAAAAATGGCATTTTTGTAAATAAATTTTTTTGCCAGTAAAAAAATTATCAAAATGAATTTATAATAATACTCTCTTAATCTGAATTAATAAAAAATTTAACTGATTGAAATTAGTGATTAACGATTTGCTTTTAAATTACTAAAATTTATAATTCAAGAGCAAAAAAAAAAATGTTTACTATTTCTGTTTTAAAAAGTACTTTAATATTAACAAAGAAAAGAATTTTTTTCTCAATAGAAATTACAATTTGATTGTATAATTTTGCAACATTGATTTGACTCCTATTGAAGGTTCAGTAATTACTTTGCCATTTTCTTCGAAATAGTATTAAATATATATTATTTGGTATACATATATATATATATATATATATATATATAGTTTATCCTTGCGATTATATGTAATTTGTGTAGTTGATGCGAATTCCTGAAAGCCTCTAATGGAGCATGTCCACGTTTCAGATTCTCATTAGTTTCAATATGTTAATTATATATAGTGGAATGCTTCACACGTACACACACACATATATATGTATACACAAGAACTTCCACCTTTACTCAACAATATTCTCATAATTAAAATTTCCAATTTGTGTAATTTTCCACAACTTGAGAAATAATATAGAGTAGAATTTTTATTTTTTAATTAAAACAGGTAGCTTTTTTTCATATATAGATATATATATATATATATATTAATAAAATTGAAACGACACTATGCGCCCAACAATTACGTAAAAAAGAAGTTTGTTGTTTTTTTTTTTTTTTGTTTCATTACGATGTTTTTGAGTGAAGATTCTTCAAAGTCGACCTTAATAAATTTTTCTCGAGACCAGCATCAGACAATCAAGTACTTCTCTCATTTTCTCTTTTGTTAGCTTCAATCTTGCTCATTAAGCTTTAAGATAAAATTTTTTCATAAACTTGAAGAAAATGTTTGAATGTAAATAACTATAAGGACGGTGTGAGTTTTTTGATTCTAAAAATGTAACAGAAACATTTTCTCTTTACGATTATATTTTTGCATTATTTTTTCCCCTTTATAAATGTATTTTATATATATATATATATATATATATATATAGTTCATTGAAATGTTTAGTAAAATTCTATGTAGCGTAGGAAAAATGTCAGTGTTCTTTTGTGTTGAAGAATACAAATTTATGACAGGTTCTCAATTGTCAGAAAGTATATGCCAGATAACTGATAAAAATTTTATGTAATATTTTATACTTCAAGTGGACTTGTTTTTTAGGTCAACAGAATGTTTTATGTTTTTGAAAAAAAAATGGTTAATTCATTTTGTTTGTAGATTTTTTTTTTATATTTTATTATTCTAAATTTTAGTTAGAAAATATAAAATTTTTCGATACTATTTTTTATAATATTTTTAATCGGTTTCTTTGATGGAAATTTTGACATTTAGAAGGGAATAATAAATATTTCGAATTATTCTTTTTCAAAGTGTGTGTAAACAAAATTGTTTTTTAAAATAGATTTTTCCATTTCAATAGTGGAAAATTATTTTTTGATATTTTATCCATATTCAGTAAAGTTGTAAAATATTTTTTTTTAGAAACTCATTAAAAAAAAGTATTTCTCGAAAGCAGAAAATACTTTCTTTTTTTTTGTCAATTTTTCTTTTTCTTTGAATAACAAATTCTCGAACGTCTTCCTATATACTCTTGAAGAGGAACAGTTTCAAGCACCCTACCGATATTTTTTTCCTATGTCAGTAACTTGAGATCCACTCTCTCTCTCTCTCCCATCTCATTGAAGAAACGTGGCCCACATTTTGTCACCTATTTTCAGAAAACCACTTGAATTGTATAATAACCGATAATTTGTGTTTACACTTGACACAAAAAAAATCAACTTTTCTTTTTAGAAATAAAAATCATTATCACAATATATTTTTTTTATATCACTTTCTATATCAATATTTCGAAAAAAAAGAAAGATGAGAAAATAGTAAAATAGTTTTCTATGAAAAAAAAACTTTCACTTTCCGTTACTATTGGGAGAAATTATTTTTTTTTTTTTTTTTGTCGAGTTATGGTAAAAAAAAGAAATTGTCAAATATCTTCAATTTTGGGTTTATATGAAACGTCATGTCTTCAAAAAGCGTCACACGTGCTCGCAAGGTGAGAGTCTCCTCTGTGACCTATAGCGCACCAGTTGAACCGACTGTTACTACTGAAGCATCATTTTATTCTGTACTCTTACTCACTGAACTATAACAAAACTGAAATGCGCACAGAGCCATTTTAGCGAAGCCTCCGAAACACACGAACGTTGTGTGTTATAAAATAAAATAGAAACCATTACCCTCCACTGACATATTGACTATCCGCAAACACACGATGAGGTATAGGCTAAAATTTTATTGAAAACGCGAGAAAATGAATATAATGGCAATATATTCTACTTCATTACTCATTTTAATTCAAAAATCATTGTTAAATCATTGTCAAAAATTTAATGTGAAAATCAAAATATATATTGTAATATACACGTGGAATTACAATATAATGCAGGTTTTTGATTTTGATCGGTTGACGTGCGACATATGTGAAAGATTCTGATTGAATCTATATGAGGAATTTTGTTTCCGTTTCTTTGTGACTTTAAAATTTCATTCTAGGTGAAATTGAAATCTGTTTATAGCTTTAATTTTGACAATGGAATCGAAAATGTACTGTTTTGATTGGTGTAACAGAATGAAAATCAAAATTTGTTCATACACTTTTGATACTGATTCTATAAATTGTAGAAAAACAAAATTATATTCTAATATATAGTTCCGTTTTTATTTCATTAACGGCTTCTGAGTAGAAAACTAGACGGTACTTTTATTCTCATTCAGTTTGAGGAATCAGAATTAAGACAGAACCCAATTTTTATCTGATTACGAAGCTAGAATTAAAAATTTACAGTTTTGGTTTTGATTCCACAACACAAATCAAAATTGTGTAAATACTGGTTTTGCATTCTGATTTGACATAGTCCGAATTGAAATTAAGCACAGATTTTGTTGCTTTTGTTTTAAATTGAAAATTCAGTTTTTAACACTTTACGAATTTGGATTCAATTTCTTTGTGATTCCAAAATTTCGGTTTAGATGAAATTAAAATCTGTTTAGGTTTGATTTGGAAATCAGAATCAAAAATGTAGTACTATTATGATTATTATTAGTGTTACAGAATGATAATTAAAATTTGTTCATCCACTTTTGATTCTGATTTTAGAAACAGAATCAAAACAAAATTATGTTTTAATATCCGTTTTTATTTCATTAACGGCTTCTGAGTAGAAAACTAGACGATATTTTTATTCTGATTCAGTTTGAGAAATTAAAAATTAAGACTAAACGCAATTTTTATCTGATTACGAAACTAGAATTAAAAATTTACAGTTTTGGTTCTGATTCTAAAACACACAACAAAATTGCGTAAATAATGTAATTTTGATTCTAATTTGATATAGACCGAATTGAAATTCAACACTGATATTACTATACATAATGAAAATGAAAATTTGTTCATCCATTTTTGATTCTGATTCTACAAACGGCATCGAAACAAAGTATGTTCTAATACAGTTCCGTTTCTATTTTAGTACCGAGTTCTGAGTAGAAAACTATAGACAATATTTTAATATTGATTCAGTTTAAAAAATCAGAATTGAGACCAATTTTAATCTGATTAGGAAACTCAAATTAAAAATGTACAGTTTTGGTTCTGATTTTAAAACGCAAATAAAAATTGTAATTTTAATTATTATTTTACATTCTGAATTTTAATTAATCACATATTTTTGCCTTGTTCTGAATTTGAAGACTGAATTTTGATTTTAGAATTAAAATAAAAATCACTTAAATATTTAGTATTTTTAAATAATGATGAATTGATTAACATTATCATATTTAATTTAATTTATTAGTATTTTAATTAGTATTAGTATTTTCGTTGATATTATTTGTTTTGGGCATATATATAAAATTAAAATTGTGTTGATCCTTGTTCCAGATTCGAAACTAAATCAACGTCTCTATCGACATAAACTATAGACGACTTGAGTTAGTGAAAAATATTTATGAAAAGAAGTCTTAATTTTGACTAATTTTAATTATTTATATTTTTGCATAATCTTTCTACTAATTCATTACAATGAAAGTTTTAATAGATCTACTAATGGAATATTAAAGTACTACACCAAAAAGTAAAAATTCTTCTATTTCAAATTTAGAGAGTAGAGGAATTTTTTTTTCCTTTTCGTACTCTTGCTGTACATGAATAATAATATTATTATAAACTGGGTGGTACTTTTGACGAAAATATCTGATTTATATTCAATCAAGTTTGATATTTTTCCGAGGTATGTCGAAATTTTTTTTTCCAGCTAAAAAGTTTTTATCAAAATCTAAATCTGTATACAAGAAAAAGTTCTTTTCAAATCATACCAAATATTCAAGCTGAATTTTAATCTGTTTGTATCCTGACATTTCATTCTGACATCAATTAAAAGCTAAATTTTAATTCTTTTAAATTCCAAATGAAATTTAGAAATTCTAAAGAATTAAAATTAAGCTTTGTATAATGAAATGAATTGATTCGGAATGATTACAGAGTCCGATAAAATTTCGGCCTATACTTCAGAACCAAAAAACTATATTTTTCCAAAGCATTTTGACGTACTGAATCCGAATGTAACATCCGAATTTACCCAGCACGTCAGGTTTTCGAGATATTCTAACCTACAAGTGCAAAAATACGTTTCTTGACTATATTTGAGGTCATGAACATCAAGAGATAATTTATTTTCAAAATGTTCATTTTAACATCTAATAGTACTATTCTTACCCTTTAAAATACATTTTGAAATTTAAAAAAAAATCTTTATTCTACTCTGAGTATTCGTCATTTGAATTTTTTAAGCATTATCTGATACTACTCAATTTACGAATATTGAAATATTCACCAAATTCAGAAAATTCAAATGATGAGAACTCAGAGCCAAATGAAAATTTTTTTAAAGTTTCAAAATGCATTTTAAAGGGTAAGAATAGCAGTTTCAGATGCTGTAACGACCTTTTCGAAAAAAATTATCTCTTGATGTTACATAACCTCAAATATTGTCAAAAATCCTCTTTTTTGCACTTTTAGGTTAGAATATCTCTGAAACCTGACGTGCTGGGTCAATTCTGAGGTCAGATTTAGATTCAGCACTTCAGAATGCTTCGGTAAAGTATTGTCTTATTCTTGGTTCTGAAGTAGGACAACTTTTTTTCGGCCTGTGATAGGAAATAATTTTTCTGTTGAGTTACATACAAATTTTGATTTGAACAAAAACTGATTGGCTCGGAATAATTCTTATAAAAACTTTCAAATCAAATCTAAAACTTTCATCAGGAGTATCATACAGTTTATTTTTGTTGAACTGAAAGAGTACAAAATTTTTTACTCTAAATCTGAATTTTAGTATAAAAACTCTACTTTTTTGAGTAGTACTTTAATATTTTACTAATTAGTAGATCCATCAAATTTTACTGTAAGTTTTTACTAACTCAATTAGTGCAATAGTCACGTCCGAGGAAGGTAGCGCTCCTAGTGTTCACTATTGGTAATATTAAACGTCGCGTACAGTGTCAAGTGGTTCTTCGAAAATTTTTGTAAGTGTCAAGTGCATTCGTTTAAGTGGAACAGGACATTATAATGGATTGAAATTATTGAAATCATTCTACGCGGTTGGTGACGTCGACCATCATCATCTCCAGTACTTTGTAAGTAAATACACATTATTATTTTTCATTATTTATAGGGTAACTGCACCAGTGGTGGATCATGCACCAGTGGTGGATCAACTGCGAGAAAAATGGTCATTTGTGTTTACACGTTTGTAAGTAAATGAACCGCAAGTGTCGGTAATTGTTTAGAAAGTTATACAGATCAATATTACAATTTAAAAAAATTTTTAAATTCATCGCGAAGAAAGCAGGACAACAATTACTAAAGTGGTGACAGAAAACAAGAGTTTTCCTTAGCATGTAAGTTAAGAGTATATTTTGGAATAGAAAGCTTTGGAGCCATTTTAGGACAATTTTTAATTCTTTTCACAATAGGAGGCATTTCGTTTCATCCCCATAGAGCCCTGAGAACAATATTTACGTCTGTAAGTAGCGCGTGTCCATTGTTTTGGGGTGATCCACGACTGGAACCAAAAAAGTAACAAAATCTAGTGGTGGATCAGTCCTACTTTTCGCCTGTTGACGCATTGTTTTATTAAAAATTTTATGAGTTAAATTTTAGTTAACACTAATTCAAATGTTTATTAACTGTTAACACCTGGGGGTCGATTAAATAACTTTCCCACATGCCACATCTCACTTCCCACATTTTACATCCCACTTCCCAAATCCCACATCCCACTTCCCACATTTTACATCCCACATCCCATATTTCACATCTCACTTCCCATATTTCATATCCCACTTCCCATATTTCACATCTCACTTCTTACTTCCCATATTTCACATACCACATCCCATATTTCACATTCCACATCTCACTTCCCACATTTCACATCCCACTTCTCACATTTCACTTTTCACACTTCACATCTCACATTGTACATTACACTTTTCTTATCACGCTTCCACCTTTTATATCCCACTTCTCACATCTCTCCCATTTCCTAAAAGATGTTGGATGTGGAAAGTGGTATGTAAAATGTGGGAAGTGAGAAGTGGGATGTAAAATGTGGGAAGTGAGATGTGGGAATTGAGAAGTGGGATGTAAAATGTAGGAAGTGAGATGTGGGATGTGGGAAGTGAGATGTAAAATGTGGGAAGTGAGAAGTGGGATGTAAAATGTGGGAAGTGAGATGTGGGAAATGGGATGTGGGAATTGAGAAATGGGATGTAAAATGTAGGAAGTGAGATGTGGGATATGGGATGTAAAATGTGGGAAGTGGGATGTAAAATGTGGGAAGTGAGATGTGGGAAATCGGATGTGGGAATTGAGAAGTGGGATGTAAAATGTAGGAAGTGAGATGTGGGATGTGGGATGTAAAATGTGGGAAGTGGGATGTAGGAAGTGGGAAAGTTACGTAATCGACCCCCTGATTTCAAATTGTTAAATTTTTGATGAATTAAAATACCCAGAATTAATAAATGTTATTTATCATTGAAACTGAAGCTTTAAGAGTTTCTATTTATTTATTACCAAAAATTCTAATAAAAAGATGATTAATTAATATTTAGTCACATTATACCTATAGAAATGAAAGAGGAGGGGATATGGATAGGAAAATGAATTTGAAAATCTGTCCGTAAAGCCTTATAAAAGTTGCAAAACGTCTCAGTCTCGTAATTTTAAAATGCAATGTTTTTTAGTATGATTTTTTAAGTGATCTACCACTGGAGCAATCTATAACCATGACTGGTGCAAACAGTGATCCAGAATAGGATCATTGACAAATTATCTTTGATGGAGCATTAAAGTAAACGTAGGTGTCAAAATTAAGTCTAACCTTGAAGGAAATGTCTATTGGAACTATCTGGTCCATAATACTATAAAGAATAACCTCGAATTTGTCTAAAAACAACCTATACAGAACTTCAAAGTCAAAATAAGAAAGTTAAGGGGCTTAACTGATCCACCACTGGTGCAGTTACCCTATTATAGAATTTAATTTGAAATTTATTAGATTTATGTATTTAGCGATTAAGAATTTTAGGATAGAGAGAAGGTATACAAATTCCTATGATGCCCGTTTTCACCGTGTGGATAAATTTAATTTTCCGAGAGGTTAAAGTCAGTTGATATATTCTTCGTCTGTGCAGAATTAATGTTTGTACGCAACTTCTGCGCAAACGCAGAATATATCTACTGCCTTTAACCTTTCGGAAGATTAAAATTTATCCACACAGTGAAAACGGACTCATAGTATATAGGGACAGCGAATTGCTGCAAACTTTTTCGTTATAGCAAAAAATTTAGCTGTGGTTACTAATTTTTATAGATTCGATAGCATAAACATCAGTTAGCAATTCCCTATTTTTCTGTGTATTTTTTATACAGGGTGTTTCAAAAGTATGGAAACTTGCAAATATCTCGAAAAGTACGAATTTTTGTAAAAAATGTTCAAGACAAAAGTTGTTACAAACAAAAAAAATTGGGCCCGGAGCCCAATGTTGGGCCCTACAATGAAAAAAGTGGTTTTCTTAAATGAGACCACTAATTTTCAGTATCAAATTCGTAATCCCCATGAAATTCTGCGTTCAGACATGTGGTATAAGTGTCCAAAATATTGGGCCCAATCCAAGATATTGGGTCCAAAATTTATCAACAGATAAATAAATTTTAAAAAATCGCATCTTGGAGGGATTTTGAGATCACAGGATTAGAAATTGGAAGCTAATTTTCAAATTGGGCATAGAGCCCAATGTAAGATTCCGCCGCCCAATGTGAGGGCCCAATATTTTTGGAATTTGTACCACAAGTTTAAACCCAGAATTTCAGAACGATTACGAAATGGAAGGAAACTAATTTTTTTACTGTAGGCCTCACATTAGGCTGCGGAATCTTACATTAAGCAATTTGAAATGTAGCTTTAAATTTCTAATCCTGTGACCCCAAAAACTCCAAAAGATGCGATTTAATAAATTTATTTATTTGTCAAAAAATGTCGAGCCCAATCCCAGACATTGGGCCCAATATTTTTTGGCTTTTGTACTACAAGGTTAAACCCAGAATTTCATAACGATTCTGAAATAGATACTAAAAATTAGTGGGTTTTATTTACACAACTAATTTTTTTTAATGTGGGCCTCACATTGGGCTGCGGAATCTTACATTGGGCTTTGTGTACAATTTGAAAATTAGCTTCGAATTTCTAATCCTGTGACCCCAAAAACGCCTAAAGATGCGATTTTTAAATTTATTTATTTAACGAAAAATGTTGGGCCTAATCCCAGACATTGGGCTCAATATTTTTGTCATTTTTACTAAAAGTCTTATCCAAGAAATTCATGGGGATTACGAATTGGAAACTGAAAATTAATGGGTTTTATTTAAGACAACTAATTTTTTTTACCATGGGCCTCACATTGGGCGGCGGAATCTTACATTGGGCTCTATGCCCAATTTGAAAATTAGCTTCCAATTTCTAATCCTGTGATCTCAAAATCCCTCCAAGATGCGATTTTTTAAAATTTATTTATCTGTTGATAAATTTTGGACCCAATATCTTGGATTGGGCCCAATATTTTGGGCACTTATACCACATGTCTGAACGAAGAATTTTATGGGGATTACGAATTTGATACTGAAAATTAGTGGTCTCATTTAAGAAAACCACTTTTTTCATTGTAGGGCCCAACATTCGGCTCCGGGCCCAATTTTTTTGTTTGAAACAACTTTTGTCTTGAACATTTTTTACAAAAATTCGTACTTTTCGAGATATTTGCAAGTTTCCATACTTTTGGAACACCCTGTATAATTTTATATATTTCGAATAGTATAAACTCCTAACCTCAAACTTTTTGTCAGCTAACCTAAAATTATTATTTTTTTTTTGTAAAATATGTTTTGCTTACAAATATATGGAAACCAAAATTATTGAACAAATTTTCATCGCATTTTAGATTCTTAAAAATTTAGTTAATTATTTTTTTTTTTCCTTTTAGTCCAAGGGACTTGTTTCCCATATGTTATAATATAACATGCAAAAATACAGTGAGCTTCGCTATATATATTTAGAAATGAAAGTAGTTTAGAATTCAAAATGTTTATAGGGAGAAAAATAGAATTTTAAATTAATTTGAAAAGCCAGCTTGAAATATTCATTTATAAGCCCGGAAATTCTCTATATAAATAATTAATATTCTTTGAAGTATTGTTACCTTCAACTCCCTTGTCCTACCAGCTGGTGTATTGGGTGTTACATTTTTTATGAATACTCCGGACACATTAGAGTTGTTTGAACTGTCGGTATTCACTAGATCCACCTATAAAAACAACAACAAAATTAAAATAATATTTTAATCGAATTAAATTTTCAACTAACTAATTAGTGTCTACAAAATATTTATTATTAAAATAAATTATTATTATTATAAAAATGAAAATAAATCTTTTTTACTTGACTCAGAAATAATGATTTGTTTTCATCTATATTTAATTTTGACCGAGTGATAAATTCACATTTATTCAGTGATAATTTTTTGTTATATTTAAAAAAAATTTTCGTACAGATTCCTAAAACATTTTATTTCAAATTGATGTGTTATAATAAATTCCATTTTATGAAAATAATCCTTTAATTTAAAATTTCGTTTATAAATATAGTCTTATAATCTTACTTTAAATAAATAATATTATCCCCCATATAACGTGTATTTTCTTAGTTCACGTTTCTCAAGTGTTTGGTATCAAAAGATATTAGAGTTTCTGTAAGAACTGACTGGATTTTAGAGGATTTTTTTAAATTAAAAAGCGTTACTAAAAAATATATTAAAGGGATTTGAAAAAAAAATCCGAAATAAAGACCATAAGACTATATATGAAAGCAAAATATATTAAATTCTTTTGAAGTTTTTTTTTTTTTTTTTTTTTTTTTTTTTTAATATATTGCAAAATATAACTTTTAATAAGAAAATTTTGTTCATGATTAATTTTCTAAATTATAAAATTAATATTTAAGAAAAACAGTTTTTAAACGATTTTTATTATTAAAGTAATAAAATTTTTTATTATTATTGAAATTTATAATATTTATTTTCATTCTGATTTTTAAAGTAATTGCATCAATAAAATTTGTATTTTTTTCCATATTGACATATTATGAAATATATGTATCTCTATACCTTGTGGAATGGAATATCAATTTTATTACACTTTATATTTGGAATTGATTGAATTCATTAAAAGTGTTTAATCTACATATATTGATTTTTATTGCATATAGAAAATAAGCAGAGTTTATATTATGAATAAGTCGTATATGTATATATATATATAAAAATATAAATTTGATAAAGCAAGTCCACTGAATATTTTTAGTCTCATTAAAATTGATTGATAATCTGTAAGCTCACTATTGCATTATTAATCATTCGCGATGTTAAATTATTTTCAAGATACATCATATCTCAGCTTTTTATATTATTCTATAATCATGAGGTCGAGATTGAAATCACTTTTATTTTATTTATAAATATATATGTGGAATAAATAAACTAATAATTATTTTAATATTTATTTAAGATGAGTGCACCAATTACGGCGGGTTTATAAAAAATAACTATTATTAATATTATATTTAATATAATTGCTGCAAAATGATTTAAAAAAATTATTTTAATCTTTTTTGATATAATTACTAATAAAGATGCACATTTAAACAATTATTAATTTAATTATTTGAGATCAAATTTTTTCCCTCGCCGTAATTGAAACATTTTTAAGATTCTTTAAAATTTATACAAACGCGCCGTAATAGAAAATTACGGTACTTATTAGCTTTAATTTCTTATATTTGTTTGAATAATTGATTTTTATCAAGTTTAACATTTCTTTAATATCTAAATAACATAAACTTTTAGTTTAATAAGTCTTAAATTGACTTTATACAATAGAAATGTCGAATTTTTTTTTTCAAAGGTATTTTGACTCGAATCGCGTCGTAATTAGTGCATTTACCCTATATTGTTTAAATTTTTTTTACAAAATTATAAATTTTTAAGGGACGGATAAATTATTCCCTATATTAGACCTGTCGAAATTTTTATTTAGCAGAATTTTATAAATAATGGATTTCATAATGAGCCGAATTTTTATTATCTAGTCATTTAATTTACATGACTTTTTATTTCATCGAATTTTATGTGATTTCAATTTTTAAATGACAGAAATTCCAAATCATCCAATTTTTATTTGTGCGAATTTTTAATTGATAGAATTTTCAAGACGCTGAACTTTCATTTGTCCGAAATTACCAATGTCCGAACAAACAATCGACAGAAAGATTTTGGCGCAATTTTTAAAATTGACCAATCAAAAATTATCAAAAAAATCGTGATTAGTTAATTTTAAAAATTGCGCCAAAATCTTTCTGTCGATTGTTTGTTCGGACATTGGTAATTTCGGACAAATCAAAATTCGGCGTCTTAAAAATTTTATCAATTAAAAATTCGGACAAATTAAAATTAAAAATTCGTCTAAAAAATAATTATAATAAAATATTTTAGAAAAAAAATTCGAGGCGGTACGAATTCAACACAAATAAACTCTACACAAAAAAATACTGCATCGCTAATTGTACACGAGTCAATTCTCAACAAAATAAAATAAAAAAATATATTATACACAATTAAATACTACATCGAAAAACCCTGCACAATAAACTATTAACTAGAAAATTATCTTCATAAACTCTACACAAATAAACTCAACACATTAAGATTTAGATTTAGAAAAATAAAAATATTTTTTTTATAATTCTACACAAATAAATCTTACATTAGTAAATTCTACACAGCTATAAAAAATAATAAATTAAATTCGATACAATTAAATTCAACACATGAAAATAATCTTTCGTTTTGTGTCGAATTTAATTTATTATTTTTTATAGCTGTGTAGAATTTACTAATGTAAGATTTATTTGTGTAGAATTATAAATAAAATATTTTTATTTTTTTAAATCTAAATCTTAATGTGTTGAGTTAAAATGAAAAGTACTGATTGAATTAGTAAAATTTCTACTGATTCAGATTTAGAAAGTACATTAAAAATAATTTTTGACTTTTGAGATTATGTTAGAGCCTCCATTTGTCACATAAGAATTATTTTGTGAGGAAATTTTTTATAAAGAAAATGTTAAAAATAAATCAAATTACCTTTCCGCCAACGATGCTGAGTCCCAAACTTGTTTCCGGTTCTCTATAAATTTCAACAAGTCTCTCTGGCCCCCAATGTTTTGTCCAAACAACTTTGCCATCTTTATCTCTATGAGTTACAGTCATTTTTCGATTAATTTTGAAAACTCTTCTTTCAACAACTCAAAAGAAAAAGAAAATTTTGTTTTCTCTACTTCTCTTCTATATATATATATATATATATATATATATATATATAAACTGGGAACTCAGTTGAAATGTAGTTTTTCTTCCGATTGTGAATCAATTTTGAACTCGTTAAGAAAAATCCCTTCTTCCATTTGTGTTTTAAATGTTGTAAAAATAAAAGAAGGAGAAGAAGACCAAAAAAAAACTAGTTGAAGCTTTCTTTTGCTTGAACTGAAAAGACTGACTTCTTCTTCTTCTTCTTCTTGAAGATGCGAATGATTTATAGATGCAATGTCCCTTTGAAGCCAAAAGCTTTGATGCTTTTCTCGAGTGTATAAAATTTTCTCAGAAGTATTCTCATTATTCTCCTCTCATGCTTGGAGTTTACACTACTTGTCTTTATTCAAGACTTGATTTTCTGCTTTAGAATAAATTGTCTCTTGACGTGAAATTTCGTGAATTGGCGCTACGATTATTTTACTTATCAAAATGAATTTTTTTTTTTTTAATCTATGTATATATGAAAAAGTCTTTGTCGTTTATAGTTAATAAAGACACTCCTTAAAAGTTTTAAGGATTGAGGAGGGAAAAAAAAAGACTTTTTTTTCTTTGGTCGAAATTTTTTTTTTCTCTTAAATACTTTAATGTCTTGGTTTAGAGGAGAGCGAAGACTTCGAGAAAATTATATAGTCATGTTTGAGGTTTTTCTCGTCTTGGTTATATTTTTTTTCTTTTCTTTTTTTTTTCTTTTTTTTTTGAGGCAAAGAGGTTTCTTTAAGCAAAAAGCGAGCTCCCTATTATCGAGTAAAGTAACGTCATCACGCTTGGAAACACACTCTGTCTCCTTCGCATCCGACGACGGTTCTTCACCTAAAGAGGTTTAAGTGCTGGAACAAAAAAGAAAACAATATTGTAATTGCTGAAAGTTCTTCATTTGTAATAGTCACATCGAAACTGTTATCATTTCTATATAGAACTGTTTTTAGAGAAGTTACTCTTTTTAAATGGAACAATTTTATCCGAAATTGCAAGAAAAAAAAGAAATTATTAATTGTATCGGAGAAAAAAATCCATTTGAACGAAAGTTATAATAGAAAATTGTTATAGAAAGAATTTATGCAAAAAAAAAACACGTGTAAATTGTATTTTTAGTAAATCATATATTAGAAATTCATAAAAGAAAATATAAAACTAAGAATGAGGCATTAAACCACACAAACCACAACAAAGCCTTACCACAACAATCTATTACGACATTATAAAAAGAAAAAAAACACCTACAACATAATTAAACCACACACAAAATTCTTCTAATATAGGGTCATTTGGGGTAAATGTAAACAGAATATCTATTTTTTAAAACAATTTTAAATCGTTAAATGGTAAAACTGACGGATTTTTTTTGCAGGAACTTGTTACTTTACATCTTTAGAAAAATTTTATGGGATATAAGAAAATATTAATGAGCTTAAATCGCATAAAATCACAAAGCGTGATAACTCAAATTTTTCGATAATTCGAAGTAATTCTTGGGTCCCGTCCATATCTTATATGCATTGCGTGTGAATTTTTTTCGATAAATCAAATTTCGATAAGTCAAAGTTTTTAGCCCACCCCAAGTGTCGAATAACGTCTCGATAAGTCGAATTTCTGTTAATTATATTTCTAGTAAATAAATAGTTTTATATGAGTCACGCTTTATAGCCATTTAATTAATGAGTCCTTTGTATATTTCTCGAGTACAACTGTTTTCCTTAACTTTCATTCAGTACAGTCAGTCTATTTGAACTATCAATATGGAAAGTAAAAGAAAATTAAAATCTCTCAGCATTACCGAGAAATTAAAAATTATTAAGGAAGTTGAATCGGGTGTTAAACGAAAAAAAGATATGTTACCTACAACCTACAACGGCAATACAAGTGAATAATTATTTGTTAGGCCTACAAAAATACGCCCAAGAGCAACAGAATGTTCCTGATGAGATTTTTTCAGCCCTATATATATATAAATATAAATTGTAACCTAACGTTAAAATATTAAATACGTATTTAATCATTTTCAAACAAATAAAAAGTGTTTCAATTTTTTGCATGTACTACCCGAAAATCATTAAAAACTCAAATTTTTCGATAACTCGAAGTTTTTTTTTTCTCCCTTCAACTTCGTCTTATCGAGAGTAGACTGTAATATCAAAAATTAACTAAACCAAAACCAGTAATGCAAAACTTAATTGAATGGCTTAAAAAATTTTTAATTGATTTTAATTAAACTTGGGTAAGAATTTTAATTTATCAGAATTCTCATTCAATCGAATTTTATGTGATTCGAATTTTTAAATGACAGAAATTCTAATTCACCGATTTTTAATTTGTTTAAATTTTTATATGTACGAATTCTTAAAACGTTCAATTTTCATTTATCCGAAATTGCAAATGGCCGAATTTACAATCAAAACTGAAAGATTTCGGCGCTGTTTTTAGAAAACCGAAATCTTTCTGTTTTAATTGTATATTCGGCAATTTGCAATTTCGGACAAATAAAGATTTGCCGATTTAAAAATTATAACAAATAAGAATTCGAATAAATGATAAAAGTTTGATACAAATTTTGTTAAGTAAAAATTAATATAAAAAGAAATTATGGCTAATTCGAAAAATGAAAATTCGTTTTAAAAATAGCATTATTATAGGTATATCTAATAAAATTTTTTAAATTAAAAATTCTAACAATATTTATGAAATAATAATGCATTCCCTGTATATAAAAGCATTTCTAAAGAATTTAAACAATCTCTTCAAAAATTTTCACAAACAAATATAAATACATAAAGTTCTATAATAAAGTTGATCTAAAATTTTGTTTACTCTATTCTTTTGCTCAGAATGCTCTTCATCATACATGGGAGAAACAAAATGTTATTTCAAAACTAGAATAAATGAACACAAACGAGACTATATTTTAAAATCCCTCGATAAAAATAACAGTACTAAAAAAACACTGCAACAAGTATATATGATCATATTTTTGATTTTTAAATCAAAAAAAAAAAAAAAAAAGAAAATCCTAAACAGACTACAAAAATACAGGAAAATCTGTTAAAATTTTATCTTTCACCACACTGAAAAAAATTAATTTAATCCAAATATTTGGTTTCTTAACTATTAATTATCAAGTAAATAATTACATGATATAATTTTAATTTAAATTAAATAAATTGTATTTAATATACTTATTTGATAATAGTCAAGTACACGGAGAAAAAAAATTTAGTGTTTGCAACAAAATTGTTTGATTAGGCAATTTTGGTTCTTGTAACCAAATTTTGGTTGGCTGAAACAAAGTCGTAGACTTATCTCCACCAAACATTTGGTTAGGCCAACAAAATTATTTGGTTGAACATTTTTTAATTCCAACCAAAATTCGGTTACGACAACAAAATAATTTGGTTAACACAACAAAATAGTTTGGTCTTAAAAACCAAATGATTGTTTGTTGTCCTAACCAAAATTTGGTAGCGACAACCAAATAATTTGATTCGCTCTCAGCTCATAGCTTAAGAGAACAGTTAGAATAAAATTTTTAATTTTACAAATAAAACTGTTTGTTTGATCAACCAAACATTTTTGTTGACCTAACAAAAAAAATTTGGTTGAGCTAAACAAACATTTTTGTTATGCCAACAAAAAACACTCAACCAAAGTTTTTGATTGACTCAAACAAATAGTTTGGTTGCTTAAATATCAACAAAATTTTTTTGTTGGCCCAACCAAATTTTGGTTGCTCTATATAACTAAACATTTTTCTCAGTGTAACAGATTATTTGATAGAATTTTTCTGTAACTGATTTTTTCTAAAATAGAATTCTTCCTTAACTAAATTATAAGATATTTTCTTTCAATATTCTTAACATCTAAAACCACCAAAACTAGACTATATTAGTAAAATTTCATCATTGACTAACAAAACCACCTCGCCTTTAACTATATTATTAAAAATTTAGTCATAAGTAAATTCACTTTAATTTAATGACAATTCGTTTAAATGCAGCAAATTTCGTTGAGTGGCAATTCGATTAAGTTTGATTAAGTGGTTAAATAACAATTTAGTTATAAATGATAATACAGTTAAATGTTAATTCGATTTTAATGAAAATTCGCGGATATGAACATTATTTTCCTCATCGAATGTATATAGTGATTTTATAGCGAAACCCGCGTAGAAAGGGAAATATGGGTCCAGTAGGGTACTGACCATGTTTCTCCATCTCTAATGTCTCTAATTTATATTCTAATTAAGATTATTACAAATAAAGTGTATGAAACACTTGAGAATAATTTTGAAAAATCTCACAAGCATGGGGGATCGAACCCAGGACCCTTGGGACGCGAGCCACGTACTTTGATCACACAACTACGTTGAAATACGTCATACCTAACACTTTTTGTATATATATATTAAAACTATACGACTTTCTAATGAACTACATTATCTTAAAATTTTTGCATGTATTAAATGTTAATAATATAATAATATAATACAATAGTAATATAATGATAATTAATATATTATTAGTATTTAAAAAATCATTAAATAAATTTTTTCGAATTGTTAATAAATTAATTAAACATTTATAAATAAATTAAAAACAGAGAAAAAAAGAAAATATAAAGTATTTATATACATGATAATTTTTTTGGATTTACATAATTTAGTCAAGATGTTAGTTGTTTTTGGTAAAAATTCACATTTTATTTTTAAAATTCTTAATTAAATGAGCTTTTGGCCGTCAACGTCAAGCCTCATCAGATTTAAATACAATATGGATTTCCACTCACATTTAATAATTTTAAATAAAAAAATAATAAAAAATTGTATTAGAAAAATAATTTTCCCAAAAAGGGAGTGCTTCCGTGAAACCAAACATAATTCAAATTATGTGGCATGATGTTTGTGTGTCGATATGTGTTCTACAAGACGTGTTCTACACGTGTCTTGTAGAACACATTTGAATTATGTTTGGTTTCACGGAAGCACAATTTTTTATTATTTTTTTATTTAAAATTATTAAATGAGAGTGGAAATCCATATTGTATTTAAATCTGATGAGGCCCGACGTTGACGGGAGAAAGCTCATTTAATTAAGAATTTTAAAAATAAAATGTGAATTTTTACCAAAAACAACTAACATCTTGAATAAAGTATTTATATTATTAAAATTTATTACAAAAGTTAATGTTAAAAATTTAAATTATCAAAATTTTTTTTAAACAGGAAAAACTGGGGATACCCCTCGTGACTAAAGCCCCATTTTAAATAGGACAAAGTAGGGAAATTTTTGCACGGGTAATAGCATTAGGGAAATTTTTATGCGTCTCGCAAATATAAAACCTTTTTCCTATATAAAAGAAATTTCGTTGAGATTTTCTTTATACAGTTTCAATTTCGTGAGATTGTACGCGATTCAGTTGGGTTTTGTATTTCTAAAGGTTTAAGAGGATTTTATGCTATTTGAGCCTCTCTTTAATCTGCAAGCTTTCCAAGATTTTCAAGAGTGATTCGGGAGTGACTCGAGAAACTTTGTTAACAATGTCAATTTCAAAGAGAGCGAGAGAGAGAGAGAGAGAAAGTGGAAGAGAGAGACAGAGGTTATATATAATACTATTCTCCAAAGTTATTTTACATTTTGTAATATATTATTTTTCAATTTACTGATGCATTATATGCTTACATTTTAAAACATGGGGTTAAATAATCATCTTCAAAATAAATTTTTTTTTTATTCACAATTTCTCTTCATGTGGTTTACAAATAAAAATTTCGAGGACTTTTTTCTAGAAAAAAAAACTAAAGTTACAAATAATTACGAAGAGTAGAAAAAAATTTTGG